AGTTCTCCAAGCAGAAGTGCTACTTATCTATCTACAGTGCCTTGTTTCCCGAAATCTACCCGACACCAAGCCTCGAATTCACTGAATCAAATCTGTTACACAACCTTCTAGGCGGCGCTGTAGAACTTGTGGAAAAGCTGGTCATAACGCGCGAACTTGTCAAGAAGTTATAGATATATCTAGTTCGTCAGATATAGAGAGCGATAATTAATTTAATATATTGTGGTTGATTTATTTAGGTGTAAAGTTCTGTGCCAAGAAAAAGTGATCGACTCGGTGATATGATCGACTCGCTGATAAACCACGTTACATACATTTACCTTACAGTTCTACTCCACTAACAGTTCCTCTGAATCAAAAAAGGCCATGTCCCTGAAACCGAGATCAGAACAACCCGAGTTTTCGTCCGTACACCGAAAGTCATGTACTCCGTCAAAATTCAAGAGGCTTAATGAGTTAGCCTCCGCCTGAAAATCCGTTACCGACATCGTTTGAGCTTGAGAATTACCACTAGAAGAGGACAGCGGGTCGCTCATCAAAGAATAAGATAGATCCTGTTGCGAATCGATGGAAATCGGAGGACGGGAACCTGAAGCTGGCGAAGATGACTCCAAGCCAAGTTTAATCTCTCTATCAAAAGAAGTGGGGATTGCTTCTAGTGGAAAAGGGTGGTTATGCAGGTGTGTTCGAAGATCAAAAGCCGTTGACGTCTTTTGATTAAAAGTCCTCTGATCCGTCACCAAGACTGCCGGATACTTTCTCAGATTCCTATCCTGTGAATGTGCCAGAGGATTTTCTGCACGTTCTCGTCGTGAGTCCTCAATCCTCAAGCCATTGGTTGAGTTCCCAATCCATTCCATCCCAACACCGAATCCGATATATCCAGATCAGTAGTCAGTTGGATAATTCGATGACACCAGCTCTTTTGCACCTAATGGTTGTGGTTTTGTTGATAACGTGCTACAAGCCTATAGAATCGGTGTGGGCTTTCAAACAAGCTTACTACAGTAGATATGATAACTTCGGGGCGGGGATGTGAAGATTGTTTTCTGCAAAATCAACATCTCATTGAGTACTGTAGACCATCAATGAATGCTGATTGAAGATGTGGTCGATAAAAGGTCAAGGTGAGATGATCACGGCTGGTGTAACTACCTAGGTAGGTAGGTATAGCTGCATAACTCACATGACCAAAGTTTTGCAGAGAACTGCAAAACCTCTCCCTCGTTTTTGAATGGCTTAGCAATACCAACACGTGATGATACTCATTGCTGTGAAAGTATCCCTCAAATTTGAGAAATTGGGAAAGGATTTCCCAGATGGCCATTTAAAAGAAGTCAATGACCCGCTGAAATGATAAAAACATCATTCTTTGTACGAAAATATCTCAGCAAATATAAGCAGTTTTTGGAAAGTGTTGTTCCGCTTTATCTACGTACCATAAGACCTGCAACCCACTCCCTCCCAAAATGCCAGCAAGAACTTCAAACAGTCCTTCACAAACAACATCCAGCATGGCCACCGGCTCAAGGTACACATTCATGGTGGCACTTACTTCATCATCGGAGAGGCCGAAAACTCATTTTCTAATTAGCTTTCAGTGATAGCAAGAAAGCCAGAGACGACAGCAACTCCAGCATGCTCGGCAAATATGTATACCAAAGCGAAGGGGTGACAGAACGATTGATACAGGGCAAAAGTATCGGCATGGAAGAGCATCTTGGCAGAGCGGCGAGAGTTATTGAGGAATTTGAGAATGTGTATGAAGGGAGGAATCGTTAAGAACCTGTGCTGAGGGAATTGATTATTTGGGAGACAGATTTCGCTTAATTCATGGCCTGTCTAGGGCGGTCAGTGGCGGTCCGAGAATACCGGCACCCACTTTTCTAAGCGCACTGACCTACTACTAGCTACACAGGTGCCACAATCACTAAGACCCGCCCTGAAAAATTATAACATAATATGTTTTAACAATAGTATAGAGCCTCTTATTAAGGCCTTAGAACTTTTCGCACAGGTTAGGGAGGTTAGGGTTAGGGCTAGGGCTAGGGTTTGGGTTAAGAGTTAGGGTTTATAGAACATTTTCACTAAGTCTACTACGTTGTACCTGTGCGTGTAGTGTTTAGCGAGATCTGTCTCCCAAATAATCGATTCCGTGCTGAGTTCGCGTTATCAATATGGCCATAGCTTTCCGCCAAGGGGAGAGAGCAAAGTACCCATTCATGATATTCTCACCTTATACGACACGAGCGCTTAACAGTAGATAAGCGCAACTTGCAGGTGGACATCGGAATTTGCTAATAAAGGTAGATCTTGGATAGAGTTGTATGTATGTAATGTGGAGTGGTCTGGAATGGGATTGGAAGAAGCTTGTTTGTGCGGGACTTTTCCGAACTTTATTGGGTTTCTCGTACAAGAGACTTCTAACAAGCGAATCCGTCAATAACAGTAAATGGTGGAACTTGTTTATTTGCCATCTTCTTAATGCCATATCCACGACTTAATATTCAATCACTTAAGGGCAGGACCTTCGTTGAGTTACTGGCCTTTTAAAGGCATAGCTTTTATTGTTTTGTGAAGAAACGATAGCTTTCCCCAGGAATTTCCAATTAAATAATAGCCTGCCTCTATTCCCCGCGAATAGTTCCTCATTGCTTCTTTTCCCCTACTAGTCCTAAACCCTCTAGGAATTAAGAGCGTGAAAGTTGTATAATGACTCGCAGTTTTTTCAATTTCTAGGATGAACTTTAATATTTCATTAGCTTTAACTTATATCAAACTGAATTTTTTTCCATTCTAATCTGTATTTCTTCTCTGAAGTAGGGTTCTGTCGTAGTGATTTCTGATACGTTAGGCGAGAAGTATGTTTGAAATGGAAAATTTTCAAGATGGATAGTCCCTTGCATATTGGGCAGTTAGTTTTGCTCTGAAAGGCATTTTACACCCAGGGAGATAATTTGTTGTCATTTGGATCAACATATTTGGGGCTTTCAGAGGTAACATTAAACAAGGTCTCATTAATAAAAGGTTTTATTGTAATATTAGTCACCAGGTTTTCAGAGGTGGGATAAACTCTCCTCAGCAGAACTCTGGGCTGCGATTTATGATCAGCGTACTTTCAGAGGTAGAACTGCACTCTTCGGTAATATCTTGCCATGATTAGGTCAACGGCTTCCAAGAGAGTGAATAGAACTAGCAATATTAGGGGGACTAGCGTACTTGGGGACTATTCATGAGACCCGAACGCCTAGCTAACTACCTACTCAATAAAACGACTTTTTGACCCACTTCTAATTCATCTTGTATACGATCAACTCAGAGGCAAAATATGGCGCTCATAAGCAGCGCTTCGCCTGTGATGTATGATCAGCAGGCCTTCATAACAGAATGAAGCTCTTCTCAGCCAGGTATAGAGATCGAGATATTCTGCACTTTATCTACATTACTCAGGAAGGGCCAAGTGACTGGACAGAGGAATTCGAAAGAAATAAAATTTCGAATGTGCGACAATTCACGTGGCCCTCCAGGTTGCTTCCATCATTATATCGCGTTTGAGGTTGATCAAATGCTGAGGTAATCCTTCGTGAAAGTTACTTCGAAGTACGGAGATGCTGTTAGAAAAGGAGGTGGAGGGAGCAAGGATGGGACGTCCTTTCATTTCTTTTCTCGTATCTGATGCATCACGTGTTGATCTAACCAATTTAGGACCACCCAGATTTTCGGTTTCCCTTGGCGAGCTTGATCTTGAAGAGTTAAGACGACAACATAACTTCACAAGAATACTACATCAGCACATCATTTCGGAATATTAAACTTCAAATTCTAAGATGAAAGAAACAAAAAAAATTGTCCCGAGAGCCTTCTTCTTTTGCCACACATTTTTTATCATTAACTCCTTTTCAAGGTAAATCTGCAGGTGCCCTTTTAGGACCTCGAAGCGCTGAACTCAGCCCCTCCGGGAATGTTTTCCAACCCCAAGCCATAATAAGCGCCCGACGAGCAGTCATGTTTGGACCCAAGCAGATTATTGGCTCCTGAATGATCCCATCAGCTTTCATTGAAATCGATTTTACAAGCTATCTCAATAATAAGATATTTCCCCAAAGAATAACCGTACAAGATCTGAGGGTCTTAATACCTAGGTTATCACGTCGAGATAAGGCGGTTTCCATGGATATCATGAATATCATGGATAGCCAAGGCAGGTTTTTACGAGTCCGAGTGTCATAGCGAAGCGAGGAACGCCTTTCTTGGTTTCCGCCGTTGGGTGTCACCAATGCCAACCTGGAATTCCAAATTCCCCGTTCTACTTACTATACCGATTAATCCCCGGCTACCCGCGTTACCGTTACCATCGATACGGAGGTATAAAGGACAGAAGTTGGGCCGATATTAAGGGGGGTTTTGCAAATTTAGGGTGCGCGTTACTATATTGCCAAATATGCTTACTGACCAGTCTGATCCCAAAGTGTCCAAAAGTGGGAGATGTTTATATAATTTATATGGTCTCTTCCTAGGGAGTTCGTTGCAAACGTCGGTCGGCAAGTGCTGAATTGCTTGTTGACCGGCTGCTTTCGGTAATCTGGCCCGTTGTATAGCCTTTCCCCCTCATGTTTTGTCAAACAAAACAAACGAACCAAGCACAAGTTGCCCTGGCTTGCAAGGTGGACGGCTCCGCACCGTATTCATCTACCCGTGCCCAACACACCCGGAGAGCTCATCGTCCAGAAATCGACCAATGCGCAGGTTCAGGGTCCTGGGCACAGCGGGGTATATCTCCATTTGGCCAGGAACCCGCAATTTAAGGTAGGCAACAGGGGCCGCTCGGATCACATGCGTGAAGCAAATCATTGACTCCCGAAGTACTCTGCTCGACAAGGTCGATCGTTTGGATGCGGTCTTTTGAGCGAACAAGATGAATTCTCTAAACACATGTCTTCATAGGGCGGATCACGATCCACCCTTGACCAGATAACCCCTCAGATAGCATCAGAGCTTTTGCATCTCATGAGGGCATTCCACGGTGGATAACCAGGTTCTCATGGGTAGCCATCACCATGATGCCCACTTCCACAAGTTGTTTCTTAAGTATAAGATCTAATGTCTTCGCCAATGAGTTTTTTCCTCTTCAGGCATTCCACCACCTCTCAGTCTTTCATTCATTTCTACAGTACATACTCTACTACATAAATCATAATCATGAAGTCCTTTATCAGCCTTTCTCTTTTGGCGCCGGCAATTCTTGCGGCAGCTCAAGATTGCTCAGTTGAGAAGCCAACTGCGCAGGCTCCCTCTGTGCAGGCAACTCAAGTGCGGGAGGCTGTTCCAGTACCCCCAGCCGTCTTCAAACCAGCGCCTGTTCCCTTCGACAATATCGACCCGGTTGCAGCTGTTGAGCCTCACCTCAACTTTACCATTCCATATACCTCCAACTCATCCGCTACCACCATTGACATCAAGAATGTCATGAAAGTTCCAACTGTTTTGCTGGAAACTATCGCATCCGTCGTCAACGTTGACTGTTCCGCTACTTCAGTGCAACTTACATTCAACGACTCGGCTATCTTTGAGACAACAGTTGCAGCTTGGGCGGCACAAGACGATTTCCTTTTGGTTACAAACCATTTTGGAGACTGCGATGAAGAGCTTGAGAGAGGTACGATTCTTGCGCTATTGTTCTTATTCACTTATGCTTACATAAATTAGGTTTCTTCCTTGTCGATCGCGTAGAGTTTGATAATTCCACCCTGGTTTGCACAGCCCATTCACATAAAACTGATCTTGCTGCCACAGCTAGTGAGTTTATTCATATCTTTTGGCTAGCAACAGAACTAACTTCATACTAGAAATAACCGAAATCACATTCGGACAAATCCCAGCTAGTGAACTCGCTGCCCGTGATATTGTTATTGACCCAAGTCTCACCCTTATTACGGGATTCGATCTTCCCACAGACACAGTCATTTTCGAGTATGATCCATACGCCTCTATCTATGCAGAAAAGGCATCTTTTGATGCTAATGTCACGTTCTCCGGTTTCATGCAGTACAACTGGGTCAACATGAAGCTCAACCAGCTCTACTTCGACATTGACGCCGCAATGGCTGCTGATGTTATCCTCTCAGCAGACGTGAAGGCAGCTTACAGCACTGAGTTCAAATACGAACCGGCAAGTCTCTTCTACGGCGTGACTGTCCCCGGAATACTGGAGCTTGGCCCACAACTCAACTTTGGCCTCGTTGGTGAGCTTTCTGCTTCCGCAGCAGTTAACGTCTCCACCGACTTTTATGTGTCTCTCGCAGACGGAAAAGTCCACCTTGACTTTCTCGATAACACGCAAACTACTACCTCAGGCTGGGTACCCAGCTACAATGTCACAGCCGACATCTCCGGCCAAGCAGTCGCCCAAATCAACCCCAAGGCTGAACTCACCGTGCAATTAGCTATCAACTTCTTCGGTGGTCTTTTAGATCTCAGCAGTGGTGTCACAGCCAAGCCTGGATTCGAAAACATTTTCACTGTCACTGGTGGCGCCGGTGTGGATCTTGGTGGATTGAAAAACACCACTGGTAACGCCACCACTACCTGTTCCCAGGGATTGAAGCTGGACAGCGATTTCGTTTTCGCTGTCGATGTTTTTGCAACTCAATTCTGGGAGAAGGAGGTTTACAACGTTACTGTTCCTCTTTATGATGCTTGTTTCGCTTGGGCTTAGGGGGAAAGATAAAATGCGCACATTGAGATGACGCATATGATTTTTATGATTTTTTAATACCTTGTATATACTACTTGATTCTAGAATGTAAATATGATTCTTTGTTACCTGAAGTGTCATCTGTAAACCATATGAAAAGATTGAAAAAGGCGACTCCCGAAACTTTCTTTTTACTCCTTTTGGTCAATAAATCTTTGTCATTTATTAGTTAACCCAATACTTCCTTCGAACTAGTATAGCGGCTCTACGGGAACGCAAGACCGACCTGAATATCCCTAATACTTTGTCCCTGGCCAAATAGTCGTAGCTTTTCTAGGGTGGCTAAGGCTGGGAACAAAGTGTAAAGCCCCTGAAAAAGTTACTATTATCTCGCCTGGCCCCTTGGGACGAAGTAAAAAGCCTCTCTTTCCGCAACCTTGTAAAGGTACACAATATCGATTTAATCAAAACAGCTGCGAATAACTACACTGACATTGAACTCAATTTTAAAATGATTGCCTGTTTTCATTACAAAATTTTATACTTTGTATAGTATTTGTAATCTAACTTTATGTAAGATCATAGAGGGTGTGCATGGTAAAGCAAGGCCGGGTTTCCGTCCACCTAGAGAGCATTCAAAAAGAATTGCCAATCAAGCAATTCTTCTTACTCTCTTCAGCAAGAAAGGAAAAAGCAGTCGTCAAAAAGTGGGACTTGAGAACCTCTCTGGCTACTTTTTGCGGAGGAAATTTGGGCTCCACTCCAAGACGCGTCCCTTACGACGTCTTGAAGTGCACTGGCCAAGCAGCCTGGAATCCTTGAAGTACATGTCACATGGGTATTCCCCATGCGTGATGAGGCTCGAGCGGCTCAGGCATTTGGTATGGGGCATTATGTAACATATTACCCACTACCCAAGCTTTGTGATATATGGGTCTGGCGGGCCATTAAATACAAGCTCTATTGCGAATTTGAATTTGCGGATGTGCGGCTGAATATGATATCAGTTTCAGGCACCCCTTTTAAGACTTTCTGGGGAGGGTAGTTGAATGAGAAAACTCCGGCATATTTGTTTGGCAACTTTACATAGCCGGAGATTTGTTTGTGTTATTCGTTTTCAGCAAAGCTTACTCCGTATGTGGCTCTAGGCTTGCCATGCACTTTTTCATGTGACATATTCGGGTATCAGGAGTTAAATGTACCTGGTCACTAGGTGTCTATAATTTTCAGCGCCTTTGAGCTGTAACTTTTGAAAACAGAGCTAGACATAAAGCAAAGTAAAGGAGACTCTTGTTGTAAAGATATTCAAAGAATACCTAATGGAAGTGTATTAATTCTAAACATTTAAAACTGCAGAAAAATCACATCCCGAGACACTAGTGGCTCAACTCCACAGTGTCCGCACGCGTTCACGCCCATGTCACTCAAACAGCGGCACTACCGATTTGCTGTTGTGCTTTGATCAGATTACCGTCTGGATCGGCGAAAACCAGGAATTGAAAGAATCCCAACGCTTTGGTAGGGGCTATCAATTCTTGTGCCTCCTCGCTTGCCGGATCTATCCCGAATCCCAGAGCAACAACGGAGCCATTATCCAAAGACGGCGCATCATCTACCCGTTTTAAGATCGTTGCGTTAAAGGCTTCAGCTCTCTCTTGAAGTGCTTTGACATCAGGCACAATAAGTCCGAGATGAGAAAGTGTTTGACGAGTATTGGGAACATACTCTCTACTTCTCGTGAATGACTTAGTTATTGTCAGCTATCTCCCACAAATCACACACCTTCATAAACCATCATACCTTGGAACTGGTGAATTCAATTAATCCTTGCATATCATTCTTCTCTGCAATCATCTCCGCACCAGTCTGATATTCCGTTCCATTCTTGCCACCCTGGGAATGGGCCATATACATGATACTGTAATCTTCCGTTTCTTCGTAGAGAAATATCATTCTCATACCAAGGAGATCTCCGTAGAATTTTCGGGTTTCGGCGAGGTCTTTGACGAGTAGAGCTACATGGTTGAATTGGTATTGGGTTGTTGCTGGGTCGGCTGGTCCATCGGTTCCTGGAGTGAGCTTTGGGTAACCGGCGGTTGAGTTCGTGGGTTGATAATGTACTGGTGGACATACTATGGTGAGAGAGGTGAGTAAAGGAAGGAGGAGTACTGCAATGAGCTTCATGATGGATGATGTTTAGGCTTTCTGTGTTGTATGGCAGGGGGGAATAACTTTTAAGGCTTGAGCTATAAGTTTGGAGCTGGAAAATTGTGGATATGTGTATTTCACACAAGACTGGAAAAGCTGGTGCTCAAATATTTCTTTCGAAGCAATCTTTACCTATTATTTTGAACGAAATTTTACGGCCGCAAGGAATGTATTGCGGAATAAGAGTTTAGGATTTTCGCTTCGGAAGCGAAATTGTTAACACTCCTTTTTCTATCATGGCTTATGTTTAGGCAACACACTGATTCTTGTGGGTATTACTTGTAGTACTTCCACCGCTGACGAACATTAGGATTAATGACTTTGAGCTGAGGATGGAGGCAAGCTCCGTACGTGGCCCCCCATACGCATGATAAAACCAAACGTCTATTTTACATGATTCCAACAATGGAATTATGGCAGAGAGGCAACGAGATCTTTTCATCCTACTAACAAAATGTTTACTCCCTACCACATCCGAGGATGCTTTTGCAAGTATAGAAATGTGGCGGGGGCGACGGCTGAGGCTGAGTTATAAGATCGACAGTACCTCGACATTTCAGTCCCAAGACAGTACACAAGTATACGGCCGTAAGCTAAATTCTTTTTCAAGAAGCCACAAATGCAATTCACATTGATCAGGAATGGGATCTGATTTATGCGAATGGCTTGTCGATTGGTTCTTGGCACACTCCTTTTCGTGTGGCTCGTACTTCGGCAGCATGTCAGCTTACCTGATGGATACGCGTAATTTTTATGGGTTAAAACCTATATGTGATTCAATATAATGATTGGTATAATACGATATCTATAGAAGTTCAGACAGCACAATGTCTTCATTCTCCTTACCCTGCCGGCTCTTTGCTCTACCTAATAGTAACTCGAAAACATTGCGGGACTTAACTACAGACGTATGGAGTTATCTGATAATGTTCTCTATCACTGTCTAGCTTGACGAGTTTAAGAATTTATTTGCTGGATTTGGTATTCGCCGTAAATATATACTCTATTTAAAATCATACACAACAATCGAAGCAATACGATATAGCGGCCTAACATGTTGTCAAAGATACACAACCTTCCCAAACAAGGCTCGACGCAGTAAGATCCTTGTACAGTATGGGAGGATTTTGGTATCAATTTGGCGCACGGGTTAGGAAGAGCTTAACTACAAAGTCAGCCAGAATCTCGGATCCCATAAATACAAACAAAACCCAGCAGGGTTGCTACCTCCGTTTTTCCTAGAATGACCTTGATGCGAGACTAGGACCTCAAGAATTGAACAATGACGCCTTCGACAATTATAATCCGCCAAGTAGTGAGAAAATTCCGGCTTTCCAACAGAGTCGAGACTCCAAGGACAACATCTTTGTGTCAAAAGAAGGAGATGGATCAGGAATAGATTCTCGGGTGACTCCTTCGTGGAATCCTGGAGACCTTCTAATGAGACCTCCTAATTTATCAGCATGCTATAAATGAACAAAGTTGTTTGAAAAATACCAAGATTTTACATTGCTTGTGACCATGTGAAAGTCTTGCGAGGCGGCAGTCTCAAAAGCCTTGTTCAAAATCCTTTGAAGTTCGTCGTTCACAGATAACAATGAATTTGCACAAAGAACTGTGACAGCGAATACGGACACAAACCACAGGTTGTGGCCTTGAGTACACAACTATACAATCCTACCCAAACGTTACCTTGGACACTGATGAGCCTTTAGCTTGCAACTTTGATCTCCTGAGGATTCAATCACGTTTCAGGGAGGGGAAAATCATTTTCAACTAATTAATCCACATTTTGTGGCCATTCATTGGGACTATGCCAACACAAAAGAACTCTGTTCTTTGAACACCCAAGTATCACCTTTGTCCACTTGCAACCCCCTCAATCAAATACTATTAATAATGAAAACAAAAGAACGAATATTAACCGATATGGGTGTTTATTGGCTGATAGGAAAGTAAGGGGTGAACTAAGGACAAAGTGATTGGTTGCTGTGAACAATTACAGCATCGCGAAGGAACTATTCGGAGAAAATATCTAAACAGCTGACTAAACAGCATAAAGGTAGTAGTAGTATTTATACCGGTATTCTCTGAAGATGGGAATACTTTTCCATCACAAGAAGACATCTACTGTACCACCAAACTACCAGCAAAATGCAACAAAACACCAACTTTAATGCCTTTCAACTCCTTCCTCCCGAGATTTGTTTCATGATCTGGGAGTCAGCTTACGAAGATTGGCCCGGTCGAGTTGTCAAAATCACGTCCGAAGGAAATTTCGACACAGACAGTGATAGAATTGCCATCGAAGCGGGCCCTTTACCCACATTGCTTCTCGTTAATTCCGAGACCTGACCTTCCACGTTCTTAAGCGACGTTTCATAAAACTTCCTTTCTCACCGGACTTATACAAGCCGGGGAGCTCTTCACTTCGTCAACAGTGTCTTTTTCGACATCTCAAAAGATACGTTCTTCTTCCACAACATCCAAGAACCCGAACCCAACGACCAAGTGACTGCTCTAGTCCAAGCGCCTGGACAGACTGCAGCATTTGTCCAGGCGCCTGCTCCCCTAGACATGGTTTTTACGCGTCTCTTTGGTGATTACGCTACTGATATAAGAAATAGCCTAACAACTCTATCACTTGATTGCCAGGCTTATTCACTTTATCTTCACCGTTTTGTTAAGAGCTGGGATCACACTGGCATATTGAAACCACTGAGAAACTCGCTTCCTAAGGCTTTGAAACTCACGATTTGCTGCGGGTGTAAATGCCGAAAGACTCTTATGTCAAAAGAGAATGTTTTATATTGGACCGTATCGCCCCCCAGAACGCCCAACAATGCAGCTCAACAGCCACAAGTAACGGAGGAGAGCCTTGCTTTGGAGTTTCAGTATTATTGTTCATATCACAAGAGGCGGAATCCATGCTTCTTCATTGAAAGCTTTGTTGAAGATTCCAACGGAGATCCCGATAGTGAGTCAGATGATGACGCTGAGGATGGTTCTGATGAAAGCCCCGATGAGGATTCTGACGGGACTTCTAATAAAGACTTCCGTATCGTTTTTGGCGACGATTCCGATGACTATGACGATTCCGATGACGATCCTGATTTGAATGCTTATTATAAGTATTATATCTTATACTAGAGCTAGAGAGTTATTCTCCTTATTCGTCTTATCCTCTACCCCCTACTAAGACAAATCTAATCCTTTTAAGGTAAATAAGGCTAAATAATAAGTAGAATAATATTAAGTATAAATAGACTATAAATAAGTAATAATAGATATAAGAAGAGAAGAAGAGCGATTAGTAGAAGTTATCTGAGTAGTAGGATAGAGAGCGAATAAGGCTATAGAGAATCCACTACTAGAGCGCGAGGTAGATAAGGTTAAACCTAATAGGAGTTTTATACTATCGAGGCTATATAATCGATTAGTATCTATACTAGGTTTAATTTATAGAGGGCAAAGAGTTCGTAAGATAACTATAGAGAGCGTGTCACGGATGCCAACAAAGGATAAAGTGTATACAGCTTTTGAATCAATTGCTAGAACTAAAACCGTAGGTACGAAGAAATCAAACTAAAGAGAGAAGAGAATCTGAAAGGAGCGAAGTTATTTAAGTTGTTCCAATGCCAAGTCTCGTCACGTGCTTGGCCAAGCGAATGAAATCCTGTCAAATGAAATCCAGCTCCGTCACAAGAGCTAGAATACCTATATTTTTATCCTTTTATTCTAAGTAGGATAATAACCTAGTTTAGCTTTAACTTATGGATATAGAGTAAGAGCCGCCTCTTCTTCTATCTTAGCTTTAATATTATAAACAGATATATTACTATATTTAAAATAGAAGGCGATATTACTATAATCGAGCTTCTTAGAATAATGGTAATATTAATAAATAGCGGATTTTATTATAGATCGTCGAATAGCTTTAATTTAAGAGGCTATAATTACTTTAAACAAAGTTTAATAATATAGATAGAATAAGTTATATATCTTTTAGTAGTAGTTTAGGAATTAACGATTTTATAATATTTCGCGCTAGCGTTCTTTTTTAGTAGTTAGGCTACTTAAAAAGCACGGATTATAGAAAATCCCGGAAAATTAAGCTTAATTCGTAACTAACTATAGCTAAATAGACTATTTCTAGAACCAATTATAATTTAAGCCAAGTCTAAATGTTCAAGATATATAATGGCAGGATTTATAGTGAATAAGGATGAAGGCTTAGTAAGCTACTCGCATGGTGGGATATATATCTCACCCCACTGCTGCCACATACATGGCTTCAACACCACCACAACAATATCCACCATATCGTTAGCTACGCTTTTATGAGCTGTACTCTTTTGTCCCACCCACATGTAACGAATACTCAAACTGGCTAACTAAACTTGGCTCGGTGTTCGCTGGTTGGTATGCTATGATAAGAAGAAGACTATCGGGTTGTTCACTTGGAAGTGAACTCGTTACTTGTATCAAAGATGTCAAACTGATATGATAAGATTGATAACTAAGTTGAGCACGAAACTCCTATCTAATGGCAGACGTGCCAGTCTTATATAGAACCTTCATCCTCAAGTACTATGATCTGGGTAGCCAACTCGCCTATTCACTTGGAAGTGAACTCGTTACTTGTATCAAAGATGTCAAACTGATATGATAAGATTGATAACTAAGTTGAGCACGAAACTCCTATCTAATGGCAGACGTGCCAGTCTTATATAGAACCTTCATCCTCAAGTACTATGATCTGGGTAGCCAACTCGCCTGTAGAGCTGGCGGTCCGTTTCGCTAGGTCGCCGAGCGATCCAGCGATCCAACTTAATCATGTGACCATAACCAATGAAAATCCCTGGATCGCTTAGCTACCATAAGCGATCCCTATTTGCTATAAGAAACCTGGGTATGCCTGTCGAGGGTTGCGCCTCTTATTATGACAAGTATCACGTGAGCACGTGATTCGTGACACCACATTCCCCTCGCTAGAAGGCTCGCCTAGCGACTTAGGACGGTTTTTTACCGAGTTCGTTTATGCCCCCGAAAGGGGTACGTTTTTTATACTTCTTTACCTACCTAGCCGAAGTTATCGCCCTACTCTATACTTTGCTTCTACTAGATAGAGCCTTTTATTCTATAATGTGGTCGAAGTCCGAGCACTTGGCGTTTACCTTTTCATTAGAACTTTATATTCTTTCTTTTACAGGCTAGGTACTTATTTATAAGCTACGTACTTGTTTATAAGCTACGTGCTTGTTCATAAGCTACGTGCTTGTTTATCCCACCCACATTCCCCTCGCTAGAAGGCTTATCTGGCGATTGTGACGGAGCTGGATTTCATTTGACAGGATTTCATTCGCTTGGCCAAGCACGTGACGAGACTTGGCATTGGAACAACTTAAATAACTTCGCTCCTTTCAGATTCTCTTCTCTCTTTAGTTTGATTTCTTCGTACCTACGGTTTTAGTTCTAGCAATTGATTCAAAAGCTGTATACACTTTATGCTTTGTTGGCATCCGTGACAGCGATTTAGCAGGGTTTTAGACCCCAGTTTAGTAAAAACTGCCCCCGCAAGGGGTGCGTAGCCGAGGGTGCTTATACTTCGCTTTCCACTTATATATGTGGGCGAATTATAAGCACTTGAAGCTAGCCAGCAATACAGAAGAAAAACCAACAATAAGCCTCATTTGATTGATGTAACGTGTACCGACTAACAATTGAACATAAATTACCACTTATAAAGTGATTTTTAAGTATCCTTCTATATCGAAGTTACATTAGTGAGTTACTATTACTTGGTTTTTATATCTATATTATATAATAAATCTCTTTTGAATTATCTATTTAAATTAAAAAAATTAAAGTATAACTTTTTAATTTATTATTTGACTCTAGAGTTACCTATAACCCTAAATAATATTATATTTATCCAATTAATTCGGGTATTAGTTTGAAATCTTTATAAATAGCTAAATACTATAAATATAAATATAGGAGAAAGTTTTCAAGAAAGTTTTCGAGAAAGTTCTACTTAACTTAAGTAATTATTATCTTAAAATAATAGAATAGAAACTAAATTAGTTAATAAACTACTCTATTTCTATATTTAGCGAACGGCTAGGTAATGTATCCCCCAAATCATTTATGCTATAAGTTTAGTCTAAACTATTAAGGTAATTCAATCAACTCTTATAATTTATTCCTTTTCTTACTCTTATAGTAGAAAGTAGGATAAAATGTTTACTAGCACCTACACTATTAGTACTCCTTTATCCTAAAGTCTATAGGAATTAAATATAAACTGAGAAAGGTTAAGAATCTTTGATTTTACATTAGTCTATCGCGTTCTGTGTATAGCGTGGGAAGTTAGCCAAGTTGTATGTATGTTTCAATGTTCTTTATCCTGTAGCAGAATCTCGAGTTTTCGAGTCTTTTCTATTTTCTAAGTATTAGTTCGATCATTGTTTAGTCGGTAATACCCAGTTATGAAGCATATTATATGATTGTGACCATGTTTTATATTATCCCGTTTGGAGCCAAAAGAAATATTAATAATAACTTACTTAGATCTCTGTTTTAGCGTCCTAAACCAGGATTAGAGCGCGAAGGTCATCTAAAGCCTTGCTCAGTTCCTAAAGCCATTAATCAACTCACTTCTCTATTTTGTTATCAGTTCACTGTAGGTCAATATACCTACACGCTGTATCTTAGCTATTCCATGATATGACAAGAGACATTTATATCATTTGCTTTAGTAAAAGTCATTAAATTATATTTTACATTATCATGATCATGATCCATAAATGCACCTACGTATTATGCCCCAAATCCCCTCCCGCCGAATCCTGCCCTGGATTCGCCTCTTCATAATTCAACGCCTTGACTAGCCTAAAATACCCTGTCGTGAGTACTCCCGCCATTCCCGGCCCAACCCAGTAGATCCAATGATAAGTTGGAAATACGCCCGATACAACGGCGGGTCCGAAGCTTCTAGCTGGATTCAGAGAGCCACCCGTGTAGAAGACACCTAGGCGTTCATATGTTAGCATACGAAATATGGCACTAGAGATGGGGAAGTATGAGAGGGGAAACAAACCAGCAATTTCAGCGACAAAAAGTGCAAGTCCAATGCCAACTGGCGCAATAAATGTGTCCTTGCTTTTTTCTGCCGCAAGCATAAGAACGGTAATTATTAAGAGACAGGTAAGGAACATCTCAATAAACAGCCCTTGCGTGATACTAGTTCCCGTTCGAAGGGTGGTATTGACTAGTGATATTGGGCCAGGGAACATGCCTTCTACCAGCCCTGCAGCAGCGATAGCGCCGAGGATTTGAGCGGGGAAAAGAATAAGTCCCCTGACTGGAGGAAGACAACCTGAGAGGATGAGACCGAGGGTTACCTTTATAAGAATTAGTACTAGGAGTGGAATTGGAAGTGGAAAAGGGGGGGGGGAAATAAACCGCAGGATTGAACAATCCACCGCTTATCCGATACCACACCCACACGGTAACAAGTAAACTAAAACCATATCCCAGACTAACGAAAACCACCGTTTGTGGAGTCACACCTTCCCCCGGCTTGACTTCAAGAATCGACATGATATGAGTCGCGAACCCGAAGTAAAGGAACATCATCGTTCCTATAAATTCCCCAGATGCAGCGACGAAGTGACATTTTATTGCTTTTCTATTGAAATTCTCTGCTATAATGCCTCTGCGATGCCCTTTGTTTGGATGCTGGTCAGATCGTGGGTTTGGTAGGGGACGAAAGGATGATCGATGGGAATTGACTGAATTTTGGTCCGAGTTTCGCTGGGTGCGGGCGTGGGTGTCGTAGATGGGAAGTTCTTGCTTTCGTGGGGAAGAAGCAGACATGACGAGGATGTATTAGGGAGCGGACGACTCTATGTCAAATTGATTGTCCGCGAGGTAAGAGGTATGCCAAGCTGTCACTCTTGCTTTTTCCGTCCAAACCAAATGACTATTGGTTGCTCGTGACACAGATAGTATAAAAGACAAAAGAAAGTCAATGAGAACACACAAAGCTGTGAATAAACACACTCCCCCTTAGCAGCGAACTTAAAGGTAAAATGAAGAGAAAAAAGAGCAGCAAAAAGATTCATAAGAAGGCGAGGGGGGAAATGCCTTAAGAAACAAAACGCCCCTTCGATCACAATGCAATGTACGAAGATCTCTGTGGCTCAGACCTCGCTCGAGAATTGAAAGAGTTCTGGGCCTCGTGGTGCGTGCAAGGACCAATAGATGGCTAATCCAGCCTCCATCTAATATGTAGGTCCGGGTGTTTCAGTGGATAGTGGGGTCATTGATGCCGTAAGAGGCGTTCTCGCTTGTCAACAAAGGGGTGGTGGCGGATTTAGCGAGGTTGATTCTACCGGTATATCGGGACCAGGAACGATTGTTTACAAGCTAAATGTCCATTTGCTCTATAAATTATTACCTTAAGGGAGGGGAAACAACTTGAAGACTTAAAGGGGTATAAAAATACATGCCAGCATACAATTCGTACTTCGTAGCCAATTGCACCTTGAAGAGACAGATTCGACTCCAGGTCGAACGTCGGTTTTCATACTACAGCATGCATATCTTCAAGATACGAACTCTAGTCTCTTAGCCCACTTCTCACTCTGACTCCTCACGGTGGAGCGGAGAATGGACGCGTCAAGACATGCCACGGATACTTCACGGGCCAATCAAGTCAGCACCAAAATCTGACGCCGCGCTAAGTACCTGTCCAAAAAGACAGTAGCCTCACCTTCTATTGCGGATCCAAACATGATACAAGGATAGCCATCATCAAGCCTTTATCCCAAGTTTCCCAAGACAAAAGTACAAGAATTTGTGGGAGCTACATCGTCGGCGCGGGGAAATCAGCATCGCGATGTTTTATATTTGAAGCCCAGCTGCATCGCGAAGGTATCCATCCATAACTGAGACAATATGAGCTCCTACTTCATCAAGATCACTTGGATGATTGGTATCCTGCAGTAAAATGCATTCAAAAGACTGTGTACTAAGAAGGCACCTAGCTTGGATGGAAGGACAAAGTAGCAACGCCTTCTCTTCCATCACGGACATTCCAAGGCCATTACCGTGTATAACATGCCAGTTAATTGTTTCAGCTATCACTGAAATTTTAGCAGCGGAAAGGTAGACTTTTGGGTTAGGGCACTTGCTATAATATTACTAGCATATTTATGCTATGAGAATATAGAGTTCCGCTGAGAAGTCTCTTTGGATGACTGCGGGAAGTACAAATATGGGGAAGGGATTAACAAGACATTGAAACGATCACGTTTGAATGAGCTGTACTCGTACTGTAGGGAAAACAATTCTACAGAATCTTGAATCAAGCAATATTACATGTACAGTACGACTACTCACTAGAAAGATATCTAAAGAAAGGTACGATCTGTCTGATATGGTCCTCTCAAAAACAAGAAATAGCATCCAAATCAGCCTTGATAATCCTGCAGAGTAGCAGGACACTTGAGTTTTGTTGGTGGTACTTGACAAATATATAGCAACAACGGGGCTCAAATTTATGGAAGGAAAGTGCAAAAGACGCCACTGGGGTAATGTGCTACTTCCTCAAGTCATCAACGAAATGCGCCTTCTCCTTTTTCCACATAGGAAGGCACTACCTCGAAGCGCTAGATAAGCGCGTGTGGCACGTATCGGCTGGAGTAGCCGTAAGCAAGAATCAAGATGCCCCAATTGTTACTTCTGATGCATCTCAATCTCTCCGGACTGAAAGTTTGGTGTTCAAAAGCAGGAAGGAGCTAGAGGCATTCTGTTATTGTGTACTGTTAGCCAACAACGAGCTGTTTATTATCACAGTAAACCAACCTATTTCTTTTTTAATTTGAAGAGATTTGATCATTTACCCGGGATGAAGAGTTCATCTTCCCTTCTTACGATTTACATACTGTGGGCAATTATTGAGGCAAGCTGCTTATTTATAAGGAATAATAGGGGTCTCATTTGACAACAAAATGCGGCTAGACATGAGTTTGATGCATCATTGATTGGCTTGATGTCGACTTTTCCCTCAAATAAATGTGATTACGGAAGGAATGCATGCAGTGCAACAGTTCGGATGTGCGAAAGGTAAAATTGTTTCGTTTCATGGGAAGGAACAATATTGGCTCAGCCTTGATAGACAGGCCAATCAGTAGCTACCTTTCTGCAAAAGAGTGGGGCCATTTATGTACTGTAACCACAGCTGTGCCTTGCAGCCTGCCGCCCATCAAATCCCGTCATCTTCACTCTGATCAAATTCACCTTTCCCATCACCCCATGGAAAGCCATCTTCCAGTTAAATTCTTGGGGGTTGTTTGTTTACCACTCGTTTACGATCGCTACACAGATAAGTTACCTCCTTTTTCTTCCTCCTTTTAACATTCCCTCCAGCTCTTTCCTCTTTCACCTTTCCCCGCATGTCTGTGGCGCTTTCCCAATCGTATGACCATGTACTGTACTGTACAACAAGGCTACACACTCCCACTTTTTCTCTCTTCATTTCTGTTCTCTCGCATTGAGCTGCTTCCATTTCTCTTACATAGCATTTCCTTGATGTCTTGATATCTCTCTCCAATTTCTCAATTGTCTCATTTGCGGGCAGAGTTCTTTCCTTCAGCCTAATTAATGCTGTTCATCATGACTCCTCCCTTTGTTCATTTACTTTGTGTCCTCCTACTCAGCAGCCTTCAAACGTTCCTGGTTCGAGGTCTCACTTGCGAGTATCGCGAACACAGCTTAGCCAATGCCACAGGAGCTATCTCAATCCCAGGTTTCCAACCATTCATCAACACAGCTGGACTCACAAACAGTACCTGGGTCCTCTCTACTGCCCTCAATCAGCGAAGGAATGTAGAAGGCAACAGTTACGTGATAGACCAGAGCTTCCACCTCGCCTCTGTCCCACGGATTGAACAATCTCCTGAGGATTTGCCATATACCGGCTGTGCAATTTTGTTGAAAGGCTTCGCAAAACCACGTATATCAACTGGTACGAATGAAACGAATAGTTGCTATGGAGTTATAGAAACAGCTTGCTCCGATGCAATTATCAGCACTATAAATTCCCAGCTACTGGAGGGCGTGGCGTCAAGACCAAACATATGTCAAGATATAATAGCCATCCCACCGGAACAATGCAAAAAGTATCCCTGGACCGCCGTAGCTGCGACTCGTAAGCCACTACTCACTCCCTTTTACAAAATTTCAAACTGAATTGAAATCACAGAACCATTTGGAAACCCTTCATATTCCGCAAGCGTTAACACTTCCTGTCCCTCAAGTATCTGGAATGGCACTGCGAACCTGATTGCAACTTCCTCTGGTGTCACCTCTCCATTAAGTGATACGAGCACGTACGATTCATGGGTCACACAAGCAACGCCGTTGATACTGGTGGCTTTCACCAAGAACGTGAGTGTTGCGACGCCCAGTTGGGGAAAGACGGCTTTGGTTTGCTTGACTCCTACTAATGTCGCACTGAAGAGTAGGAAGCCTTCGAGTGGTGGGAGATTGAGAGTTGATTGGCCAAGCTGGGCGCTGGCAATGGGTGTTTCGGTGGTTTTAATGTGTTTTGGTGGGTTGTGAGGCCACCCGGTACTGAGTGGTGGTCTATTAAGGGGAAAGGTGTTGGGGAATGGGATGTGTGGTTGAATATCGCTCACCTCTTATCCATTCATGTTTGTCTTTGATTTAGATACCCCTAAAAATTGAAGATTTAGTGCTTCCTCCCATCCTATTCTTCTACGCTTCTAGCGCATTTTCTTTGGCTCATTAAGAAGTTAAAGCCCAAGCTTGTCACCTTTGTGCGATTTGCTCTCGTTCAAGTTTCTTCTGGCGTCCTCTACCTATTGGCCCCGATCCTAAACTTTGTGCTACCTTTCATTCTTTCTTCAATTTGAGATGAAAGTTTCAATCGAATCCATCAACGAGGGTGTATAAATGCCCTTCCTCCTTCCTTCTGAATGACAATAAGACAAAACTACTATATTGGGAAGGTATGGGGATGACACGGAAGTGGGCTTAACCTCGATCTTTCCACAGCTTCAGTTCCATTAACACCCTCCTCGAACTCAAGTTCAACATAGGTTTCCTTCCACGCAGGAGTAACACGAACCCTCAAACCGCGCTGTACACCAACTATTTCTTCATCAGCACCTCCTTCCCGTCATGTCACCTTGCACAGGAAATCAAAAAAGAAGAACGGTGTTGGAAAACTCACAGATCAAAAAGTAGATGAAATCAGCCTGGTTAGGCAACCACGTGGCCAACGCCATAACCTGTCCGAACCCCCAACTAGTGTCCTCAAACGACTCATTGAGCCTGGTATTCACAAGGTGTCTCACGTAAAAAAGGCCCCCTAACGTCAACCAGAGATTGAAATAACCGTATAAGCAAATAATCCACCACCACGTATTGCGCAATCTCCACAGAAACTCGAAAGGCTGGATCTTACCAACTTTCGCTGCGGTTATCTTCGTAATAAGCGATTTGATCAGGAGAAACCAGAAGGACATAAAAACAGCAATACCAACGAGTAATTCAAGAACGTAGAAGTACGGAGACGGTTCGCTCAAAGAAGTAAATACCTGTGGGAGACATAGCGTTTCTTTCCTGGTGGTATGTCGTTCGGATTGTTGTATGTAGATCATTATCGATATCTCTGTCAGCGAGAGCAACATGTTGATGGCCAGAAAGCTATTCCTTAACATCTGTCGCTCCTTGATTTCTCGCTGCATGGGCCAAATAGCTAGTACGACTGAGAGCGAGAATCCGGTTACTAATGTAGCTTGTAGCATATCGTAAACTCTGAATTTGGATTTGAGTACGGTTACTATGCCTGCTACGACTATGGAAAGGTTGAATACCATTGCTGTGTTCAGAAAATCTCCAATTGTTTGTGAGGCGGCATTTTTGATGCGGGTGCTCCATTTCCGAATCGTGAGGTTTCTTGCTGGAAGCGGTAAAGATTCTCTGGATGAGTGGGATAAAATTTGGGAGGGCTTATGTCGATGAAGTTGAATTGACCTGAGGATGAAAATGACCAAATAGATTGTCACCATCACAGCCTCCATACAGTACGCAGCTCTCATCTATATACGGCATCAATTTTCCATCCCACAAACCTTTACTAGAAACAACTCACTCCAATCCCCGAAATATCAGGATTCGAAGTATATTCAATCGAGTGACAAGTCTCCAACCTGCAATGCTCGAAGGAGTCTTGATACATCCTCTTCGTCACATTTGTGTTCGGCTCTGTAAGCTCCCTCTCGAACCAAGCCATGGTTTCGCATGTGCTGGGCTTGGAAGAGCCCGGTGGAAGTGCACTCGAAATGAAATTCTCGATGGCATGGCGTGTTTTGATGAATGTTGGATGGGCTGGGTCAAAGTTTTCCCAGAAGCCGCTGTTGAAGTCCGCAGCTGCGGTGCAGTCTTGTGTGAAGTCGAGGTTTGCCCATCTCAAGTTCGTGTTCGGGCGTATTTGTGCCATGATGGATGGTAAAATTTCAAACGATGAGAGATATTATCGTGGTTGATTGTGACCTTTCCAATGGGAAATAGATTATTTGAACAGTTTCGGTTCCGTCATGCTGCTGTTATTGTAGTCTCGATAAATCGAGATCTTACCAGAAGGCAAGAAAGAGTTGAAGGATTTGGGTATAATATGACGTATGGGTTGCATTAAGCTGAAGCGACTCCCCGTTCTCAGAGACGAATGAGAACTGCTTAGGCTTGTTGATCTGTGTAACAATCCTCACATTTGACTCACTGAAGGATTACAGGCATTAAAACGAGAACCAATGATAGAGATAATTTTCAGCCTCCGTAAGAACGGCAGCACTAGATCGATATAATATGTGGCGAGGTTGACACGTTTCTGGAACTAAACAATATCATATTTATGTCAATGCTCATCGATTTATATTGTGTGTACAGCTTATGAACTCTGATATCCCCTTTGGCGAGTAATTTACAATTATCCTAGGTGAGGTGGGCAAATAGTTATTCGCCACCCTTGACAGTTGTTTCTCGTTTGGTTCTAGAAATGGCAAGAACAAGGTCAAATGATAGATACCAAAGTCATAACAACGGTATAGAACGACTTGAGCGCCATTTGAGCAACAAAATCAATTATGCTTGCCCAAACAAAAATATGTCGCCAATTACCATCTCAGTCCTTACCAAGATCCCCCTATTTGTATACTTAACCGAGAAAGCACCAAAACACCTAACCCAAAACTAAAACCACTAAGCATCTTCCAAACCAGGAAAGTCACAGACAATATTCTGTGTTCTGTCACCAATCATATATACACCTCCAACTTGACAATAAGCCCCCGCAATCCCCGTATCATCCGTATCCCACACAAAATCACCACCCGCAAAATCCTCAGTGAGGAAAGTAGTCCCAGGTTTCGCATAATTAAAATCAACCTTGGTACCCGGATCTCCTCTACTAAACACAAATAAAGACTTTGGAAGACCGGTTACTTCAATTTGTCCGCCGCTTTTCATGACATCTGTTTTCTGGCCTTTGGAAACCTCGTTGGGACCATTGACGACGAATACTTCGATGGTGAATTGATCGGCGCCCTCGTGGAAGATCTTTACTCGGTATCGGAGGATGTTGGATTTGTTGGTTATAGCATAGTGGTTATCAATTATGGGAACTCATGGAGCCGGTTTTGCCGGGTTTTCCGTCTTTAATGGATAGCTGGGGTTTGGTCATGTGGAATTGGTAGCCGTCGTTTGTGCAAACTGGGTTTGGTTTACAATAAGGGACGAATCTAATGAAGGGATGAGCAATGGAGTGTATGCAATGGAATTGGATTGTCACTTACTTATCTTGATCTGCAACTCCGTCATCACCGTCGATAATCCATGACACGGAAAAGGTATCACCGTCAATCATGGCACCAGAACATTTCTTGTCACCTGCTAGTGATCCACCTGGTGCCCAGTCTCCGAATCCCCTCTGGAAGTTCTTGAATTGACCACCACCACGTTTGAACTTTCGTCAGTAATAGCGCGGAAGAACTCCCACAGAGCCGTACTTACTCCCATTTTGAGATCCATTGATACATCTCAACGAATTCCTTGGAGTGTCTCCTTGCTTGAAGGCATCTTGCTTGAACGCATTCATGGGGAACTCGTCACATTGAAGTGGCTTAGGAGCGAGGTCATCTGGTTGTCTATCCCACATTCTCTGACTAATTGGCAAGAGTTTGCACAGAGTTGATGACCTGCTGGTTGTGCAGCCAGAATGAACTCGGTTGTCAACTGAATTTGGTCCAAATGTGAACTTGTTGTTGCCTTTATTGACGCAGTTAATGAAATAGCATGCGTTATTACAAGCTCCTAATGGAAGAGAGGGAGAGTTAGTATATTTTTCGTAGAATAGTTTGGAAGCAGAAGAAATAGTAATAAAGTTTTTGCAATTATCTCAGTTCTAAAGTGTTAGCCCAGAAATTAGACTCACCAGCAGACTTGTTGCACTTGAATTTGAAAGTCCCGCAATCAGTTGGGGCTCTTGTTGCAGAAGGCAGGTTGGCTGTCAAATCATCTGCCTATCGAAGCGACATTCTATTATTTTCCAAATTCCATTTCGAGTTTTGGGTATGGTATCAAACTTACCCCGTCATCATCTGGATTTGGAGGGTCATCCCGGCCTTCAAGTGGTGCAGAAAAAGCGAGATTGATAGTGAGGTAAAAGGAGAATGTGGAGAGAAAGAATTCCATCTTGAGAACTATAGTGAAACGCCAGAATAGAGAAAGGGGAAAGAATACCGATGGAGAGAGGAGTGAAAGTGGATGGGATAGATTTCGAAACGTAATTTTGTGATGCTAACCATTATTTATACATAATATTGATTTAAAATCAAACGCATACAATACTAGATATATTCTTAAATGTGAAACCCATGAAGTGGGCGAGGCGCGAACGCAAGGGGCAAAAGGATTGCTGAGCTGAGTGAGATTGTGGGGAGCAGCGATATCTGCCTTACGGCATAGATATCCTCATTACTGGGGCTTCAGATATGTAGAGTACCTTGCCCTGAAGTATACTACGAACCTGTAGCTAGTATATTATTAAACCTTTATGCCTAGATAAATGCGAAACCATAGGTCATCAATAGGTACCCACTACCCAGAATCCCCCAAGATGTGTAAATTCTCAACCGAAGCGCTGTAAGATCTTACACTCAGCTACATGACTTAGAAAGTTTCAAATAAATGTCATATAACGTTGAATACTGTCCTCAGGATTTGGAGAAACTTCATTGCACTTGTTTACTACTTACACAAATCGCACTATTCAGCTGCTGCGGTTATTGATCCCGATAAGTGTTTTTCTTCTCCCTGTCATGCAGTGTTATAAATCTTGAAGTGAAGCTGAGAAGTTTTTAGTGCCTTCAAGTTATTACTACATAAATCCCAAGCACCATAATGATGAATAAATGCTTGAAATCTCGTTTGTTAGTATCACAACTATCAAGCTATGATTAAGAATGGGACATAACTTGCTACAGGCCCTGATGCGAAATTTAAATTGACGTTCTTTGAGCCCCCAAAATAAGGAACCTCAACATCATGCAAAAGTGCCTTTATCTAGGCAACATGGTAATCTGAAAGATTGTCTCACTTTACTTCGCTGTGTGAGCATCTAAGAACCTGTTTTCTGCGCAAGCAAGTCTCGTATAATTGGCTTGTGTAGAGTGAAGCTTATTCGGTAACACAAGAAGGAACGACTTGGGTGGCTGCGTTTGGTGGCTGAAACGAGTTGCTAGGCTTTGTTTAATTACCTAATATATCTCACTTGCAACGACTTGAAGGAACAGACACACCTCTTCTCGATTTCTGTGGGTGATTAATTATTGTGACGTCACAGTATATTCTGTCAAGAGGAAGATATCAATAGAGTCTGAGAGAGGACAAAAGATTTCTCAGAAGCCAGCATAGTCTCACTCATCAAGCTCGTTCCAACAATCACATTCCCACCAATCAAAAATGTCACACGAGGGCCCCAGAGACCCTACATCATGGACTGATGTTCATTTTGCTTTATTTGTTCTTGTGTATATATCTACAGATGTTTGTTATATCCCACCATCACCACAAGAAAGACTCTTTTAAATAACCCCACCCAGCAAATCAACGAAATTCTCCAAACCTCATACTCTGGCGCTTCCCTAGGAAGCTGGAACCTCTGGCTCGCCACCTCCTACACCAACGCACCACGCAAACAAGGCGACCAATACACAGACGGCACCAAACCACCCATCCCCAAAGACTGGAACTCACCGTTCCTCGGAAAATCCATCACCGATGCCGTGGAATTCGTGGAAGGGCTTCCAGATGAAAGTACGGTTGATTGGCACCATTTTGTGATCGTAGGCGAGGATTATTTGAAAAGTGGAATTGTGAATCTTTGTAGGATTGGGGATGAGGAGTTGAAGGGGAAGGAGGTGGATGTTTTGCCGTGTAGTGTGGAGCATGCGAGCTTGACTTTGATGGGGTTGGAACCGCATGGGTGGGAGGAGATTAGGAGTAATGTTGAAGATGGGTATTCTCCGATTTAGAAGGTAGATGGTGTTACTACATATACTGTACGACTGGGTCTTTTCTATAAACGTGAAGTCTAATACTCTTTTCTATCTAGTTTCAGATAAGAGTATTTACAATTCCTACTTATTTACTTCTCTATTAACTATATTCTAGCTTAATCGGTAAAGTAGCTATATATATAAGTAATCTTCTTTAGTTTATTAAGGTAAATACTACCTATTTCTTTACTAAAGTCAATAGTAGAATTCTAGAGTATCTACTATATTATAGAGTATCTAGGTACTTTCTAAGATTCTTTATTTAGTTCTTTTTTTTCTACAAGTATTAGAATAATAGCGCTATAAGTATAGATTTATAGTACCTAGCTCGCTTATATAGTAGCTTCTACTCCTCTATAAATTACGACACTCGATAGGAAGGCTATATTTATTTTTGTTTCTTACTTATAACTACTAGTTAATTAAAGAAATTAATAACTTATAAATAGAATGACTAAAGATAACCGGACATTATCGCTAATTCGGCAAAGCCCTGAAAGGTCCTAGGCACCTAATTTCAATCTCTTGTAACCATGACTTTTATAAAATAGTTATTTGCTAGCTAAGGGTAGGTAAATACTGTAGCCAGACTTGCGGGAAATCTTCGGCGCCGACTTCGGCACAGCTCACCCTCACCGCCCAGTGAAAAACTGGGCCAGTGAGTCAAATAATGTGGCAGTAAATATCTCAATTTAACCCCTCGCTGCCCCTCCAATTTCCAAGACAAAACTCCACAACTACTCTATCACCAACATCATGTCAGGATCAATTACTCTTCACCTTCGTTCCGAGTGTAAGTTTATAATGCCATGGCAATAATGGTCATGCAAACTACTAATGCGAACTGTAGTGGGCAAAGCCCTAGAACACCGCTCTGCCTTGACCCCCACGACGGCAAAGGTCCTCATTGACGCCGGATACACGGTCAATGTTGAGCGCAGTCCTGAGCGCATCTTTGACGATGAGGAGTTTGAGAAAGTTGGCGCAACTCTAATTCCAGAAAATACATGGCGTGAAGCTCCAACTGACCACATCATTATTGGGTTGAAGGAGCTGCCTGTGGAAGAATGTAAGCCTGCAGAACTTCAATTGATAGTTCAGATCAAAGCTGATGTTCCTCTAGTCCCTCTCAAACATGTTCACATTCAGTTCGCACATTGCTACAAAACACAAGGAGGATGGGAAAAGGTACTCGCACGATTTCCCCGCGGTGGTGGAACCCTTCTGGACCTCGAATTCTTGACGGATGATAAGGGTCGACGTGTTGCAGCTTTCGGATACCACGCTGGGTTTGCAGGTGCAGCTCTTGCTCTTGAGACTTGGGCGTGGCAACTTACACACCCTGCTTCAGAGCCTTTCCCATCTGTGTCTAGCTACCCCAATGAGGACGAGCTGATCGCCGATGTCAAAAAGGCAATTGCTGCCGGAAAAGAAAAGACCGGCAAAGACCCAAGAGTTCTTGTCATTGGTGCGTTGGGAAGATGTGGTGGCGGAGCTGTTGACTTATGCTTGAGAGCCGGTGTCCCAACTGAGAATGTATTGAAATGGGATATGGCAGAGACAGCCAAGGGCGGTCCATTTCCAGAGATAGTTGAGAGCGACATCTTCGTGAACTGCATCTACCTCATGTCAAAGATCCCCAACTTTGTCGACATGGGAAGCTTGGATACCCCCGAACGCAAATTATCCGTCATTTGCGATGTCAGTGCTGATACGACGAATCCCAACAACCCAATCCCGGTATACACAGTCGCTACGACCTTTACGGAACCAACTGTACCGGTTGAGGTCAAGAGCGAACCAAAGTTGAGCGTCATTAGCATTGATCATTTACCTAGTTTGCTGCCACGAGAGGCAAGTGAGGCGTTCAGCAAGGACTTATTGCCAAGTTTACTGCAATTGAAAGATTGGAAGAACACACCTGTATGGGCGAAGGCTGAGAAGCTTTTCCAAGAAAAGGTTGCAACTCTTACAAAGAGCGCGCTTGAAGGATAGACATAATTTTGTGATAGATAGATACCAGCTTGCTAGCAATTAGCAAATCAAAAGTTCCTGAATCTAGAGTGGTGTACTGTAAGTTCTCGTCGTCATTTATTTCCTAGTCATCAGGAAGAAGGCCACTGGCTAGTTTAGCCGACGTCTTTTGATTTACTTACTCACAACAAGAATCCGAGAGAGAATGGTGCACGAGAATAGGCTTCCGAGTATGTTACAATTTTGTGTTATCAAAGATTCAGCCTCTGAGCCTTATTCTGTTCACTAAGGTTAACTTTTCTATCACTTGGTGTCGAACTTACTATGTGAGATGAACTTCCGACGGATGTCGACTATGTGGTACTGTACTGAGCTGTAGAAATGATGGGGGATGAAGTGTGTGGCTCTACTGCGTTGTTGAGTCCCGAAGGACGTCTGCAAGCTGCTTCTTTCTAATACATATACACCTTCCAAGACCGAGTTTCACACTCCCATTGTGGTTCCATTTTGCTACAGTACAGTACTAGACAAGTCTTTGACTTGATACGTCTCCTTTCACAAAGTGAGATCGCCAAACTTGGAGTCTACAAGGTACTATACTGTACTTTGTAGTCCAATAGGCCAGCTGCGTGTGTCCTCCGGGACTGGATAACTCAGTGAAGCAACATTTGACTGTATCCAAACACATTATCCTCCAGTAACCATTCTAGTAGGACGTCATAATTTGTGAGCTGGCCTCTGTTTTGTTTTTGATTGGCCACTCCACACTCGGATTCTGATGATTAATTGTCCCGCTGGTGTATTACAGTATTGTTTGAATCCAAGCCACAACAGGTTCCCGTCTCTTTCTACAAACTACCGCTGCTTCACGAAAGTCGAAGCATAATACGAGGTCCTTTAGCGTCATTTATGTTTTGTAGTATTCTTCACTGAGTGAGTGGTGGTAGAAGGACTCATCGAAATCTCTCCTTGAGTTGCACAACCAACCAAGTTCCAATACCAATTATTCGGAGTCCCAAAAGAAATACCATCACGAGTGATAGCTTGTAGTAACCCTCTGACGAATTCTTGGAATAGGTTGACTGCGAGAAATATTGAGTCCCGTAAAATTGCTTTTTAAACCTCTCCCGCCGCCCGCGATGAATCTCGATGACTACCGCGTATTAGGTTCTCTATTACAGTTAGCCTGGTTTTAAGTGTAAATAAGAACCCCGCCTTCATTCCTAGTCAGCACGTGAAGATATTCCTACTTCCCTTAGCGTTATTTCCAGAAGATGTGTATTTTCAGATGAAGAGCGCGGGTGTATTATTGATTCCCTCAACCCTCTAAGACCCGCTATTTAGTGGTGATGTCTAATTAGAAGACTTTATTGTAAGTAAATAACTTTCTTATATCCAAGCTAGGTTTCTACAGTAAGATTTGGTGCGTTTACTGTAAATCTTTTCCGGATACAACATACGGAACAACACCAGGGGGGTGTATCTGTCCTTACTCCCGTAAGATATACTTACCGTCCTTACTAGCGCGTGTTCGCGAGTTGAACAAGAACTCTTTTATAGTACATCGCCCCCTCGAAGGATATAAGCGAAGGAATAGGGGGAACAAGCGGGGTTGGGTGTAGAACGCTCTAAAATACTAAAACACTAAAACCTTTATATATAAGTGTGGATGTATCAACAGCGCATTCTACACAATCAGAAGTACTGTTGCTTGTGTTGAGTATTTTGATAAGGCAGAGAAGTGTTTAGACAAAGGGTCAAATATGTTGCTTCACAGAGTTACCCAGTCTGGAAGAACTCACACACCCCGCTGATTCATAGGACCGCAAATTGCCCTGTACAGTTGACTCCAAGTCTGGCACTCCGACTAAGGCCACTTAGCTTTCTCAGCACTCTGGAACGCGGCGTACCCGCTTGCCTCGTTGAGTTAGTCCAGAATTAATTCAGCCACATCAGGTCTGATGGAAATGTTTCCCTTAGCTTAGTTTCAAACCGGTTTCGAACCGCCCCGCAACAAGTACGTCGTTTCTTAATTAGCATCGTCCCCCTCTCATTGGCTGGCCCAGAATGTAGTGTTGATCTCCCGCTTGGAGGTTGGTGGTCATTGGTGCTCTCCTCCCCTCGCTAAATCAACGTTATTCCTGAACTGTATTGTCTTACGGGCACAGGGTGGTCACTGTCATACGAGCTCTAGTGCATGAATATGTCAGAAAGAACCTCTATATGGAGGGGGGAGAGCCCTGTATTGAGTATACTGAATGTTGGATGGTAAGTTCCAGGACGAACTCCAATGACGGTCGAACCTGTCAGTGGCTTCGTAAGGTTTGTGGGCGGAATCGCTTTACAAGGTGGATTCCGCCCAGTCTCTTCTCGTTTGCTCTCTCTTAACACCATTGTGCCCATCTGCTGGCAGTGAGTGCTTGAGACGTTTTCCTTTTCCCCCCTCTCACAGCGAGCGATCGTTCTTCGTCTTAGTTCGTGGCTTTCCTTCTTCTTTTCTTTGCCCTTTTCTTCTCTCCTTTTCTTGGTTGCACGAGTACGAACGTGCAAATGTATAGCTGCAGGCATGGCTCCTTATTATAGGCTCACGGACTTACTTGTTGCAATATTAATATTTCAATGGCTGGGGAACGGGGTATTGGCGGTGCACTACAGCGATGAGATGGATATAAACCCTCAGGATTCCAAATCCGGTGCAGAAGTGCCTGTCCCCGGATTCGGACATGTGGTTCAAATCGCTGGAGGAGTAAGATCACGTTTCTCTGGCTATGGCAACGCTCTAACGTAAACAGATGGTCCGAACAGACCAAGATTTCAAAGATGGATTCGTCATAGACGTTTTCTCACCAAAGGCCAGGACAGTAGTAGTTACCCAGAATATGACGCCGCTCGGAGCGAAATTCGTCAGTGGGACTCAAGGGGAGAACTTCGTCGCCATCTCAAACTATTCGTACCAGATCAAGACCAACGATTCAGCCAACGACCTCATCGCCAAGATCGAGATCCCCTTCCAGCCACAGATGTTGGACCAAATGAATGTTTCCAGTGCAAACACGTTCGTCGCGGTGCTCGCTCCCGATGGCAGGAGCTGGGTAGTTGACGATTCGATCCGGAATGTCCACGTCACGCAGAACACGACGCGGTTGATCAAGATGACCCAGATTGATGGGGAGTACATCCTCGTTGGCCGGAAAGAAATTGACACGTCGAACATCTTTCTCCAGTTCGGCAATGGCCAGACGAGGACGGTGCATTTGGCCGCGGGAATTGGGACGCAGCAGAGCGAGTGGATTGATGGACTGCGGTTCAACGTACAGTCGGATCAGCAGATGCAATTCAATGTTAATCTGCGCCCGGGTATCAATCCAGGGACATTACCGGCGGGGACGGAGCCGTTGAATACCTATACATGGGTGGTCAATAGTAGCCAGCCGTTTGGGAAGATGGATGTTACGATGAGTGTTCCTTGTACGTATGCTCCTCTCTCTCCTCCACCTTATATATATGAATTTGAGACTCACAAATTGCCCAGTCAACAGAGCAATGCTTGCAGCTATGAGACCCGCTGGCTTCTCGCCCTCGACTATGCTCACCGTCTTCAAGCGACCTCTGAACGCTTCTTCTGGAGTGTTCCTACCGCTTCTGGCTGATAACCAGGTCGTGAAGGAGTTACCCGAGGATCGGATTGAGATCACTAAGATGACGCAGTTGGATGGGGTGTATGTGATTCTGGTCACGCCGCCGAAACCTGTTGGTGAGAGTATGTTTCCTCTTTCTTTTGTTCTTTCTTCCTCTTCGCTTCGTTTGATTTCACTTGGAGGACTGTATCTAATTGATGAACAGCTGGTGTGATGCCTACTATTTTGGGTGGTCCAGGTGGAAGTATGGAGGTTAAAAGTGAAATGGTCGTTAATGGTTGTGTAGCGAAGACTGATGGTAGTATGGAGAAGAGGAGTATCATACCTCAACGGATGAGGTACTATAAGAAACGTGGTTGGAGACTTGAGAGTGGGGATGAGGACAGCAATTGAATAGTGATTACAAGCATTCGACCATCTTGGGAATGTTTTGTTGTGTCATTTCCAGGTGTTGGTATGGTGTTTACATGGTGTTCATATGGAGTTTATGAGGTTCTGCGGATGGTCCGCCACAAAGCGAGTTCTTTAAAGAAGAATCGAAGATTGGGTGTTTCAGTATGGCTTGATATGAATATTAGGGCTTTGGTTTCCAAATTAAACACTAGCCGATATCTTCAATGGCTGGTCTTACAGTTGGGGTATTCCCAAAACTTTCTAATCCTCTGTCACTTCCCATGCCTTCCATGAGTGCATCCTTCTTCAAAGACTCCGCCAAAGTCTTCGGGTCTGCAATAGCTCCGTTGGAGTCTGCCTTTAATGCAGCAAACCTTTCACCAGACTGTTTCAACAGTTCCTGAACCTCGGTCTCCCTCGCTAATATTTCAGATTTCTCCTTTTCCAAATCCGCAACTTTCTTGGTCCTCCGAGCTAGTTCTTGCTGCATCGAACTCAGGGTGGATTGCAACCGGGCCAAACATTCAGATAAAACCGGCAGTGGAGTGATCTTAGACGGCACTTGTGTAGCGGCGGCAGCTTCATCGTCATCTGGTTTATGGAGGCCGTCCATACCGGCTCGGGTCTGTGCAGCTTCATATGCCGCGTTTCGCTCTTCTTCAGAATCATCCGAGTCCCCATCAGAGCTCCTTTCAGCCTTGGCGATCATATCCGCAATCTCTTTGCGATGTTGCCGTTTGGCCTCGCGTTCTTGTTTTTTACCAAGTGATACTCGACCATCGTTGACGAATTCGTCAAAGCCTTCTGCCTCATCTTCATCATCCCTCACTAGGCGACTTTCTGGTTTTTTCTTTCGTGGAAGTAGTGATAGTTGGCGTCGATCATCATTATCCACATCATCGAATGATATGAAATCCTTCTCCTGAGCTAACCTTGCTCTTCTTTCTTTCTTCTCCCTGATCTCTGCTTCGGTGGGTATATGCGCGGGCGCGACTGTTTCCAAATCTACAATCATTGCTCCCTCCAATTCGCTTGCATCCAGGCACTCTTCATCTCGAACTGTGGCTTGTATATCTTGTAATTCAACAGGCCTATTGGGTGTGGAGCTCTTCAACTCATTTAAATAGTCCTTGCTATACGTCGGTCTCTCCTCATCATCGTCGCCGCTTCGTGCTGGATATGGAAGTGACTTCCGAAACGCGTTTCCCTCAATGACTCGTCGTCCCAATGTTGCCTTCTTAGGTGTAAAAGCCTCATCATCCTCTAAAGCCTCCGCTGCGTCCCCAGAAATTATCTCACCAGGTCCAAAGGATAGCCGAGAAGAAGCGGCCTTTTTCTTCCTCATCAAAGAGTTTGAGCGGCCGATCGAGGGTTTATTCGTACCATTGTTTCCACTACTGCCCGTCTCTTCGTCGCCGTCATCATCAAATGCGATACTTTGTCGCAAACTCGATTTCTTGAATCCCTTTCGATTGGAAGATGACGCATTGGATATAGTAGGGGCTAAAGGTCCGCGGTTAGCTGACTTCTTGTAATCAGCGGGGTTTAAAGCTGTAGTTGTAGCTTTGGAGTACTTACCAGAGTCTTTTGGTGGTTGGGGTTCTCTTGCGCCTGGCTCGTCTTCTTCGTCGTCAACTTGTATTTTTCTGGCTTTGCGCTTTGATCCAAAATCAGACTTCATTATGTCGAGTTTAGAAACTATGAGCTTCACAGAAATCTAATGTCAATTTCTCGATGTGTAGAAGATAAGGCAAGGTTTTAGTGAAGTCAGGAGCTCAAGGGTTGAGCAGGGCAACGCGAATTGGTATCAACACGTGACCTTGAAGCTAGCCCGAGTTCTTATCCCAAATTGCTGGACCAGCGACTCCAACATCGTACTTGTACCCCACAGCTTCGACTTCACAATCGCAGCATCTCTTCCCAAATTTCAAGATGCCTCAAGCTCAGCCAGAGCTGAAGAAGGTATATATCCCTCCCGAAACACTGTTTTCACCAGCTTGCCCTTACCGCGGCAGGCTGAATCGCAGAACGCGATAATGTTGACAATGCACTCATTCAAGGAATAGAATAGCTAACACATTGTCGCAGTACCTCGACAAAAGGCTCTTTGTGCAGCTGAACGGAAGTCGAAAGGTTATTGGCGTGCTGAGAGGTTACGATGTGTGTTGTGTTCTACCCCGCGGTGAGAGCTGGGCTAATGATCGGTGGATAGGTCTTTTTGAACATTGTGCTGGATGATGCAGTTGAGGAGAAGGATGGAGGAGAGAAGGTCAAATTAGGCATGGTGGTTAGTTTCCTCTTGAGTTTGAAATTGAGTGGGATGGTGGCTAATGACTTGACAGGTTATTCGAGGAAATTCCGTTGTTATGCTCGAGGCTTTGGAGAGAATTGGAGGCGGTCGAGAAGACAGAAATTGATTTACCTGAGTATACGAAATCTACATGAACGCATACACTCGATGGGAAAAGGAGCAATCAAAAGTTTCGCATTTGAAGGGCGGATATGGCGTTCTTCCGGTCTATGCAATCAAATACCATACTTCACGTCAATCTGGGCTAGGGCATTCAAAGCTATATTTATTTTGAATTTTGATTGCCATTGAGGTACTCGAGATACTATGGCTCGAAAAGTCGGTCCTTCTCATAGGATGGAGCTGTTTGGAAGGACCAAGATTGGGGCAATTGGATGTCAACAGAAAAGGCATACAATGGAGCCAGGCCACCGAACTTCTCGTGCTTGACAACCAAGGCCAAATTCTTCGCTAAGCAAAAAAGAAGAGCTCTCCTCGTCACCTCCTAAAGAATCATTTCATTCTTTCCAAATCTTTATCCGAAAAAGCGGAGTTTTTCACTTCTCGTAACTGTCCAGGATACAAGAATCAAAAAGCCTCTCACCCACCCTAACACCCCAAATCCCACATCCCCTCCTCAAACCCCTCCATAAACCCCCCCTGAAACTCCCTGACCCAGCCCTTAATCCCACCCTTCAAAATCCTCACTTGCAGCGTACTCTTCATCCCAAACTTCGCAATATCATCGATAGAATCCTGCATCCAATTTGCACATCGCGGGCCCCTTCCATTGGATGATCCTACCAGATTACCAATTCAGCTCAGCTCATAAATAATTTAATAATAGGGGTAGGGAGTGTGTGGAAAAAAAAAGGAAAGATGATGAATATACATACCACAATAAAAAACCACCATCTTAATCCCCGCCCTCTCACAAAGATCTAAAAGCACCTTACGACTCTGATAGAAGCTCTGTGCGGGGAGGTTGAGAGATGTTTTGATTGTTCCGCCCTATCCATGTTCACTCGTCAGCACCATCAATCATCAACCATCAACCATCAAAAAATCCTCAATCATAGTACCCAGGTACAAGTACACGCAAAATACTCCTACTCCTACAACCAATACCTATCTACCTAGCTAGGTAACACTTACTCTAGCTCACACAACGAGGGGCAGCGGGGTAGCTTTTTTGTAAAGTCAACTCACCACCCAATCCTCCCTCCTCACATCAACCAACAGGAACCCCCGCATTGATGAGGTGATATCCATATCGTCAAACATCTTCACTACTTCCCCGCCTGTGAGGGAGAGGACGGTGGCGCGGGGTGGGGGGAAGGCGGTGGTCCAGTCTGGGGCGGGGGATGTCATTATTCTTTTTTTTTCCTCATCTCTTGTTCTTGTTGCTTTTCTGGGCGTTGAGGGATTTTGGGCTATTGTTTTAAGTTGAGAGGCTTGAGGTGGTGATGGTGATGGTGATGGTGAGAGTGTGTAGGCCTAGGGTTGAGTTGAATGGATTTGATGTACTGTATGAGTCACCGCTGTTTCGTAGCTGTGATTGGTTGGCGAGAGTTAAGCTCAACTCAACTTAGTTCAGCACACTATTTTTTTTGGAAAGGAGAGTGATCGTTATAAGCAGCATTCGAAATAAGTTGAGTTGAGTTAAGTAGTAGTACCCACTTAACTTAACTTAACTTAACTCGCCAAGTACTTAAGTTAAGTTAAGTACTACTTAAGTAGTATAGAGTAGGTCGGGCCAAATATCGGGCGACCGGTCCGATAATTCGGATTTAGCCCGTCCCCCTATATACTATATTTCCAAGGTAATAATAGGCTTAACCCTATATAAGTTTCTATTTATAGTATACTATTCGAGTACTTAAGTACCTTATAAAAAAGGGAGGAGTCTTTATAACTATCGCTAGACTATTCTAGAATCGTTACTATATATAAGACTATTAGAATTCTAAAACCGGAAGATAACTATCTAGGTACCCTTATAAAAACAAGATTATTAATTTATAAGACTATTTTACTTGTGACGACACGTACGATATGTTGCTCAAGGAGCGTCCAAGGTGTAGGTTATGGAATCGTAGAACTGTCTATTCGAAGATTCTAAGCTAAGGAGAGAAGAGAAGGAAGGACAGAAGCTAAAGAGCCAGAGGCTCATAAATACAGGAGGTGGCGCCAAGGGCCATGCCTTAGCCGAGTCTCAGCCAGGGGCTCGTTTGACGCATGGTGGCCGCCGGGTTCCAGCCGGGGCTGTGTCACGAATCACGTGCGCAGCACGTTGAGGAGTGAAGTCCAGGCGGCGCCCTGACAGGACGAGCACATCACGGACCCTTATAGCGAATAGGGATCGGTTAGACTAGCTAAGCGATCCAGGGATTTCATTTGGTTGTAATCACGTGATGGACCCCAGAGGATCCAGGAGGGATCCAAAAGGATCCATGGATCCAGTTGGATCCACGAACATGAAGGTTCTATATAACACTGGCACGTCTGCCATTAGATAGAAGCTTCGTGCTCAACTTAGTTATCAATCTTATCATATTAGTTTGACATCTTTGATACAAGTAACGAGTTCACTTCCAAGTGAACAACCCGATAGTCTTCTTCTTATCATAGCATACCAACCAGCGAACACCCAGCCAAGTTTAGTTAGCCAGTTTGAGTATTCGTTACAGGCTGGTCTGTAGCGTGGTGGCGGTGAGAACCGTCACATTACTAACGGTTATAAAATTTTATTACTGTAACTATAAGTAATAGTATAAAAAGAATATATCTATCTTTACTAGTAATAGTATAAAAGAGATATAACTATTCAAGCACTATTCTAGAACTATCCTATAGCCGTTCTAAGTAGGGGTACTAAGGCTAGGGATACCCTTATTTTATACCTTCCTCCTCTACCTACCTACTTACCTACCTACCTACCTACCTACCTACCTACTTATAAGCTCTACGGTCGCGGGATATAACGCGTATAACAACCTACGAGGGTAGCGTATATATAATACGCCCGTGTGAACTTTACCCGAATCGACTGATTTTACGATTATATTCTTTATAGTATTAGAATTAAAGCTCTAGGAGTAATACCGAGTCTTACGCTACGTTTATACGTAACTACTATACCTAAAAGGAAAGTATACAAGACTATCCTAGGACCGTCCTATAATAATAAGACCGACCTATAATAATTATAAAGGTTAGAGATAGTTCTATAATAATTATAAAGGTCGGAGACGGTTCTATAATAGTTATAGTAGGAGATAGTCCTTTAAATTCTAGACTATTATATTAAAAGACTATCTAGAGACTATCTTATATAAAGATAGGAACCTACTATTATAGTTCTTTTTTTTTAAAACTATTTTATTACACTTAGATAATCCTAGAATAATCCCGAGATAATTTAAATTATATAACTATTCTAAGACGGTCTTAAAACCCCCCCCCTTTTCTATAAGGTACTACTCGAGTAGTCGAATCTACTACTTATACTTAACTTAACTCAACTCGAGTGACTCTGAGTAGTACTCGAGTCTTTGAGTAGTTCTTTCGAACGCTGTCTATATCCTTTACATTCTATCTCCTAATCTCTGAGGTAAGTTTTCAAATTTGCCCTCTTTGGAGCTATTCTTATTGTTCATAAGTAGGTACAATGGTACCTAATATTTATTGTTTTTACTATGTTATATGGACTATATGGAATTGCTATATATCAGTCGATTTTATCTTTGGGGATAGGTATGGTATGTATACATGAACGAAATAGATCCACATTCCTAAGCCCTCTTTCTTAATCTTCAATCTTTAATCTATTAACCATCCTAACCTAACTCCCACTCTCAACTCCACTCCCAACTCCAACTAATTCAAACCGATCCACCAACCATCACAACTTCCCCCCTCCCTTCCCCCTCTCCTCATCAAACACCTCCCTCCTCCACCTAACCTCCACATCCCTCGGTCCCCCCCTCTCAAACCTACAAACCACAACTCTCTCCCCATCCCCCACGCGTCCCTTGCCCTCCAACTCCGGCCCACACCCCTCAAGTCCCAGCACACTCTTCCCATCACTCGTCATCATGATGCCCTTGGGGGAGATGACTTTTTCCGCCCATTTCACGTGCTTCCCGCTTGAGGTGCCGGTGTTGAGGAAGGTGAGGATGGCATCGCGTTGAGCTTGGAGGTGTGTGTTGTCAGGGGAAGAGGAAGGGGAAGGGGATAAGAATGAGGAGAGGAGGTGCATGAGGTAGTATTGTGGTGGGAAGAGGATGATTTCGTTCTTCCGTGCGAGGTTCAGCCAGTGCGATGCCGGGGCGAAGGCGGCGGTTGTGTGTTCCAGTCCCCCGTCGGGCGTGGGGACCGGGATTATTGCTGAGGAGGGAATGGGAGAGGTGGTTGTTGGTGATGGAGATGGAGATGAGAGGGGGAGGAAGTAGATGTACATCTGGGTTGTGAATCTTTTTGGGAGATTTGGGGGTGTGATCCAGCGCGTGAAGGGGATTAGTGAGTCTATGTTTTTGTCAGTCACAGTAGTTAGTTACCAAATAATATACCTCTTCTCTTCCTCGTTCCCCCTTCTCCACATGTATAAGGAAACAGCATCAACTAAATCCACCCACAAAACCCAGTAGGAGAAGAAATAAAACATACCACAATCCACCACACCCCCCAGTCCCTCAACCCACCCTGCAAACCCCAACTCCCCCATATGAACCCCCCTCCTAGCCTCCTCCCTCTCCGTCACCCCAACATCCAACATCCCCCCTTCCTTATTCCTGGCAAGCAAAATCCCACTCTCCTCAAAACACTCCCGCATAGCACCCATCCGATATGCCGGTCCATCAACATGTCTTTCATCACTTGACGGGTCCGGGATAGGACCATCTTGCGCGGCGGAGAGGTTTCCGCCGGGGAAGACGTGTGCGTATGGGAAGGAGGAGGAGGTTTGGACGCGGTGGAGGAGGAGGATTTGGTTGGTTGGGGAGAGGAGGAGGATGCTGGGTTTGTTAGTGGTGTTTGTGTGTTGTATGTTGTGTTGTATGTTGTGTTGTATGTTGGATGGAAAGGGGAAGGGGAAGGGGAAGGGGAAGGGAAGGGAGAGGTAAATTACCTAGCACTAGGTCGCGGTTCCGCCCTACCTTTCTTGTCGGGAGGTTTGGTAGACATATACTGTTTCTTTAGATCCGTCATCGTCGCTCTACCCAGTTTCCCCATTTTCCCCGATGTTTCTCTACCACCTGTAAGTATAGATAAACCACCCAAACCGACCCTTCTCCGTCCTTGTACTTTTTCCTCCCAGCCCTTCCCTTTCTCACAACCCCTCCAATCCCTCAAGGAAGAATACACCCGGCCCTGGTTCGAGGAAGTCTTCGTTACTCCTCTCAATTGGCGTAAAAGAACTAAAATCGTGGTGTTTCTGTTTCTGGTTCCAAGTATCGATTGTCTTGCGGGAAGACAACTGGTAACGTTCCAAGGCATTACCTACTTGTATTTGAATACTCCGTCTCTACTCATAGTCTTCCTATGTCAATGGATGAAATCATACCGAATAGCGGGGTCGTCCCGTCGTTCAGTGTAATGACAGGGATAAACGGAGCGGAACTTAAGCCGAAAATCTGGGGTAGCCGAGGTTCCATTGGTGGCATGTGCAAGGATGGAGGTTTAGGGATTGCCCTAGGGTTTTTCAATTCTCATCAGGCTTCCAAGATTCACCCTAACCACAACATCTTACATTAGTGACGCTCAATACATCGTACAGGCACTCCGAGTGAATTCCAAAGGAGGCTGGCTACCCATTCGCTACTTGCGAAATCGTGAATACCAGAACTTCCGAGAACAATGAATTCCGAATTCTGCGTTGGTAATACTCCGTACCTAGGATACCATGCTATCAATGGGAGAAAAGTCACCACCCACCCACCAGGTATCTGGTAAGTAGAGTAGAAATACCTACGTCATGATGGATCTGGCAAGTAGGTAGGTCGTAAACAAGTCCTCGGCAGATTTGCTGTCTTAATGTAAAGTGCGCAATTGAAGCGTATCTAGAACAAGAATGGTATGGTTGAGAGCCACCCACGTTACGTATGTGAAGTGATGGGTGCTACTTTTGATTGGCATGACGGATTGAAAGGTCGAGATGAGTCCGAAGCACAGTAGAACTTCACTCTCTAGCTTCTGTTACCCTAGTCGTTATCGGGTTTGTAACATCCCAAGATCGTGTCGGAGAAGAAGAAAAGCGAGGGCAAGCTAGGTGGCAGTACCCTGTAAAGCACCAGTTCATTGCAGTCAATCCTTATGTTGTAAAATGAGTTAAGACTCGAAGAATCGTGCGGAGCCTTATTGACATCTCTATCACCTACACGCGCAGGGTCAATGCCCTCAAAGCAAACATCCCAATCATTTAGGATGTCCTCCCGACCAACGCCAACCAAACGCCAACCAAACGCCAACCAAACGCCATCCAACCAATTCCTTTCTCAAGCCCTCCTCATTCCTCCTCGGGATACAGCTCCTCCAAATTACAAAACTCGACCTTGAATTCCGGCTCCGAACCCTCCTCCCCCTCTGGCACGAATACAAAAGCAATCATGCTGCCATCCTTCACACCTAAGCTCTTTGGGGTTTCTTTGAGTCCATTCCCGGTATCGAGTTCGGACCAGCCCTTTGAGGGGTCGTAGGCATCGTTTGGGACACCCAGGACGATTTCAGCTGGGGACTGGGGGGTTTCTAGGCTCGTATCGGTATCGCTTTGTGGAAGGCCAGAGGGATATCGTTCGCGGAGGGTTTTGAGAAGTTCGGTTTTTAGGCTTGTGAAGGGTGTGGTTGCCTCTGCGAAAAGGAGGATGGTGTGTTTCCCATGCTTGAAAAGGAGGGTGTAGTCTGTGTATTGAACGGCACCTTTTGCCTAGAGATGGGGAATTAGCTTTGACGCGTTGTGCATTGCGTGAGGATATACATACCATGTTGACGTTCTGGAACTTGAAATTGGTGATGTTTGCTCGAGGCGAGGCGAGTCCCGCGTTCTGACATGCGGAATTTGCGGGACGCCTAGTCAGGTGATCAAATCCTGTATACCTTGCCGCAAAACCATTACCCTGGGTAGGTTGGGTGTTGCAAAGATTCAGCCAGCCAGCCAGCCGGAGCCTAAGCCAGCTCTAAATCCAACGTCCAACATCCAACGACATCTAACGACATGTCGAGCAGCTCATCAAAGGGACTGACAGATGTCCCAACCGACACCGAGCAGGAGCAGGAGGAACGAGAGAAAAAGTTGAGATCCGAGAGGATGGAACGGTTGAAAATGAATTCCCGTATCGGCACCCCCTTTGCCGTGCGACTGATGATGGCTTCATCCATTTCATTTCTGGCGGGCATGGGTTTGGGAATTCGTCATGGAAGCCAGATGGCTGGATTTCGATTCCGAGCAGAAAACGCTCATCGCTTCCCCACTTCGACGACCGGCTGGTATCTCTACCACAAGAGCAAGAATTACCATATGGCCTTTGGCGGCGTCAGAGAGGGCCTGAAGATGGGCGCTAAAGTCAGTTTCTGGACTACCAGTTTTTTTGCGATTGAAGACCTGTTTGACCGCTACCGAGGCAGCAAAGACTTTGTCAATACGGTCATTGCCAGTCTCTCCGTGGCCGGCACCTTTAGCTTATGGAGTAAGTTCTCTTGGAATAATGGTGTTCCCTGCTCCCCTCGCCTACACGGTTGTCCCTGCTGCATCGTCTCTAACCAACTCGCAGACCGCTTTCCAATCACCGTGGCTGCGAGAACGGCCAAGATGGGATTGGTCTTTGGTGTATCGTATGGTCTCGCTCAAGATGCACTCGCTACATTCAAAGGCCGGAGTCCGGGGTATATGGACTTTATCCTGAGAAAAGGAAGCCAACCGACCAGCAAAGAGCTTCCAAGCGGATCCATTTGATGCATACTCGTGCTGCACTGTGTGGTATCCATACCACTTATGAATGAGTGGTATGAGTGGTATGACCCGTGGCTTCCCCGCTGCAATGAGATACGCGAGCGTGCGTGATAGGAGGGAATGCGAGGGCCTGCGAGGATTCACGGTGATCCTGATGATGCCCTCCACTCCTACATTGCATTGGTGGTGGTGGTGGTACGATGCGAGTACCAGCCGTGTTACACTTTTTCGCTGTCTGGATCTGAAGCTTGCAATAATCCACCTTCACGCACCCTCGGCTGTGGCGATGACAATAATGATAAAGGAATGGTGCTGGCGGTACTGGGCTGGTGCTGGCCTTTGCTCCTGCCCGTACTTCGTACTTGCCACTTACTGGTATAGCTCTTGCCACTTACTGGTATAGCTCGGCTTGAAGCGGCTCAGTTATCAGAGTTTCCCCACCACGTGCCCACCGCAGCTCCCCCGCCAGGACGATACCTAGGTACGTACGGTACGATACTGGTATTAAGCTCTCAAAGAGTGGTGGTACTGGCTTGAGTACGGGCATGGTACCCGAGTACAATTACTCTACCAAGAGAGCGTGAATCATGATGTGATGCGCCGAAGTCGCAGTCCCAGTGCAGTTGCTGTCCCAGTCTTTGGGTTCATTTAATCAAGTAGATCTTCTGCTCGCGCCGTTATTAAGACTCGTCTGCATCAACCCACTCTACAGTTCCCTCCTTTTCATTGTCTTCGTCATCTTCACGTTCGTCAGGTACCCCATCCTTTGCACGCATTCACATTCACATTCACATTCACATACACATTCATGTAACATGGCGACAACAATGGCCTTCCGCACCATTCATACTAGAAATGCAGCCTTTCATACGCAAGTGATTTGTAAACGCTCCATTTCATCGAAACCTCTCCCTCGTCAAGCTACGACATATGCCCCCAATCATGTCTCTGCAACTACAGACAATCTCTCATTCCCAGAGGCCTCTCACCCATCTGGTCTTCCGGAAACACCGGTGCAAGCACCTCTCTCAATCCTCCCTTTAAGCTCCGTCCTAAGGTCTTTGGCCATCACAACTGTCTCTTCCTCGCCAGTAGGTAGGATTATCTTTCAAGCTGATCTTCTCACTAATTGTATGACCTAGTTGCTTCTTCCCCCTTCCCTTGCGGTCACCTCAATGCTGGCTCACTCAACATCACCTATCCTATCTCCAGATAAGAACCCAATTCTTCGATTCTTACTCAAGCACACATTTTATCGTCAATTCTGTGCTGGAGAAGATCCCGCTGAAGTCCAAAACACAATCAGCGGTATGAAAGAATTGGGGTTTAAGGGTGTAATCTTGGGATATGCCAAAGAGGTGGTAATGGACGAAGCACAAGCAGATTCCTTGACATCATGCGGAAGTTCCGAGGCCTTGGAAACCTGTATCCGAGACGAAATCATTCCTTGGAAGGAAGGATCCGTTGAGACGGTCAAATTGGCAGGTCCCGATGATTTCGTTGCCCTCAAATTTACCGGGGCTGGAAGTCAAGCTCTCTATGACTTGAAGCAACAAGCCGATCCATCACCCGCTCTCAAAGAAGCAATCGACTCTATTTGCGAATTGGCGGCCGCTCGTGGTACCCGTATCCTCTTTGATGCCGAACAACAGGCTATTCAAGCTGGTATCGACGCCTGGACCTTGGACTACATGCGAAAATACAACAACAGAACCCCCGGGAAAGCAGTCATTTATGGAACTTACCAAGCATATCTCAAAGCCACTCCCAAAATCCTAGCTTCCCATCTCGCAACAGCACGAAATGAGAACTTTACCCTGGGCGTTAAGCTTGTACGAGGCGCATATTTAGGGTCCGATCCAAGACATCTGATCCATGATACCATTGAAGACACGCACGCAGCCTACAATGGCATCGCCTCCTCCCTCGCAACCCGCACTTACGGCCCGTCTCTCCAGCCACAAGCTGGCGAGACCAAATTCCCATCCATCAATGTGGTTCTCGCGGGTCACAACCACACCTCGGTTCGCCAAATCCAGGATCTTAGAACGCAGCAGGTGCGAAATGGGGAGAAGCAGACCGATCTAGTGTACGCTCAATTGCAAGGTATGGCGGATGAAATTAGCTGCGAGTTGGTGCAGGCAAGTAGGAAGGGAGGCAAGGATGTCGATGTACCGATGGCATATAAATATGCGGTCTGGGGAACGACGGGCGAGTGTATGAAGTACCTCTTGCGAAGAGCTCATGAGAATAAGCAGGCGGTTCAACGAACGAGGAATGGGAGGGATGCTATGCGGAAGGAAGTTTTGAGAAGAGGCAAGGCTTTCTTTGGGTTAGTTTGAGCTCGGTTTTAAGGGCGTGGGAGGTTGGTAGGCGGTACGTCGGTATCCACACCTACCTGATTGGGACCTTTTCCTCCCTTGGAGTGATCTCTCATCGATTCGATGACTCTATATTTCTTCGCTGGTCTCTTTTGCTTTTACTTTTAGCGGGTTGTTTCTGTTAGGCGTTCATAGGTAGATCATGATACAGACTATGCAATACAGTGGCATGCGATGAGTTAGTACTACATTCTCACATACAACGAATAATATGACGTTGAATTCTAAGTCTATTTGAGACCTGAATCAAGTATTCAAGAGAAAATAAGTATAAATGTAAATGTAGATGTAGATGCAATTACTAGTTACTAACAGGTATGAGACAAGGTAGCTCTTTTGCCTCTCCCCTTACTTGTGCAGGACTATGTACTATCTTTGGTGAAAGGCGAGGTTTATAGCTGGTACCTAGTATGTAATATGCGGATTCGAATTCTGTCTTGATGTACGTACGTACGTAGTTAAGCTATAGAAATATTCATACATCGTACATCGTATCTACTTATTCTTCTCTTATTCTGATCTTGCTAGTGTTATAGAATGTAGTATTTGAGTAAATAACTCTCCTTTTTTTCATAGTGTTTTCAAGATTGTGTTTGTGATATTGTGATTAGGATGATACGATTATGATGAAGTGTTTTGAGGGATACTTTGGTTTCTAGTATTGTGGATTTATGGAGTTTGGATGTGAGGTACGGATTTGAAGTTTGTCTGATAATTGGTGGTTGTGTTGTGTTGTCTTTTGATGGGGGGCTTGTCCTGCATAAATGCTGCACAAAGTTATCCGATCTGTACCACATGTGAACACCACAACTCAACATCAAGATGACAACCAGTTAATACAGCTTCTATCGCACCCAGATCACATTTCTCTTTCTCCTTCCAGCCCTGGATGTATTCTGAAAGCAGGATTCTAATATTTGCCCCAACTTTTTTCAGACAACAATCATTATGAACGGCGCATCCAGGGCGCCATCATCTTTAGATGCTGGTAGGTTGCTTCAAGATACCAGATCAGTTTTCAGGAAGAGCGCGTGGGAATTTGAGTTTCTTGCTGCTAATGTATGTTGGCGTAGTGGAATATGATTCTATAAACGACCTTAATGCCATCTTCTCCCATCCCTCGACGCTGCAATCCATCAACCAACCCGCGAATGCCCTCCAGAACCACCAGGATGAGCTCGCAGCCTCGATTTCCGACCTGGTCGCCGCGCAAGCCTACAGCGATAACTCGAGCCTCAAGAGAATGCAGTCCGCGAAGGACGAGCTGGCGGAGCTCTTTGGGAAGATCGAATCGGTACGCACTCGGGCAATTGAGACGGAACGAACTATTACGTCCATGACGGCGGATATCAAGCGGCTGGATGATACGAAGAAGAATCTTACTCTTTCTATGACGGCGCTGAAACGCCTGCAGATGCTTACGACTGCCTATGAACAATTGAGAGGCCTGGCCAAGACAAGGCAGTATAAGGAGTGTGGTAGTTTATTGCAGGCTGTGCTGCAGCTTATGCGACATTTTAATACGTATCGGAGTATTGATCAGATTGCGACGCTGAGCCGTAATGTCGCGGAGATCCAGAGGGAGCTGCTGGAACAGGTCTGCGAGGATTTCGAGATGGCATTTGCAAAGGGTGAGGTTGCTAATCGGAAGGTGGTGCTTGGTGAGGCGTGTTTGGTGATGGATGCGCTGGGGGAAAATGCTAGGGCGAGGTTGGTGACTTGGTATGTTAATACGCAGTTGAGGGAGTACAGACAGGTCTTTAGAGGGAATGATGAGGCGGGGAGTTTGGATAATATTGGACGTCGGTATAGTTGGTTTCGACGGATGCTCAAGACTTATGAGGATGAACATGCTGGGATTTTTCCAACGCATTGGAGGGTCAACGAAGTGCTGGCAAATTCTTTCTGTGAGGGGACTAGAGATGACTTTAAAGGGATACTGGAAAGAAGCATGAGGAGACCGGATGGTGGGAAAATCGACGTCAATTTATTGCTAAGCTGTTTGCAAGAGACCATGGATTTTGAACAGAGTCTGGAAAAGAGATTTGCTGGCGTGTCTAGAGAAAGTATGGATACGCTCAGTTCCGGGGAGGAAGGAAAGCCTCAGACTTTTGATCGTTCCATTTCAGAAGCATTCGAACCATATCTCAGCTTATGGGTAGATTCTCAGGACAAACAACTGGCGACAATGATACCAAAATACCGGACGCTACCACTTCTTCCCGAGGATGAAGAGTTTTCAGCACAGGCTGTGATATCTTCATCCATTGAACTCTTTCATTTTTACAAACTTACCCTGGCACAATGTGCCAAGCTCTCTACAGGGGAACGGTTATTGGATTTATCCAAGACGCTTGCCAAGTATCTCGATGAGTATGCTCAGCAAGTTCTTTTGCATTTCCTTTCCACTTCCGGGGGGCCAAGTCTACAGAATATTATTCTGGTTCTGAATACTGCCGATTATTGGCATACCAACACACAGCAACTGGAAGAAAATATCAAGAAACGAATCGATAATGAATTTTCATCAAAAGTCGACTTCTCTTCACAATCAGATGCGTTTTTGGGCGTTGCTAGTGCCTCTATTGCAGCGCTGGTTCATCTGGTTGAGCTTGAATGTGATGCCCCATGGCGAGAGATGAGGAACACAAATTGGAGTAGAATGGAGAGTGTAGGAGATCAAAGCTCCTATGTCGCCGAGTTGCTGAGACACGTTGAATCGCAAGCCAAAGAGATTCTTCCTTTGGTAAGCAAACAACATTATGCCAAAGCATTCTGTGACAAAACTGTCGAATACCTTGCAACTTCATACATAGCCAATATTGTCCAATGCCGTCCTATCTCTGAGGTTGGCGCTGAACAAGTAAGTTTCTCTCCCATCTATACCTATACACATAAAACTAACAAATCCCAGTTAATCCTTGATAAATACGTCCTCACAAAGGAACTCACAACCCTCATCTCCCACTCCCCATCTGCATCCACATCCTCCACTGCCCAAACCGCCTTCGTCAAAAGAGTCACCCAAAGCATGACCCGTCTCGATCCCCTCCTCAAAACCCTCCAAGTCCACCCCTCACCCCCGGAAGCCCTCGTAAAAGCCTACCTCCTCCACATCGCCGACCGCTCCGACACCAACTTCCGCAAGATCCTCGAGCTCAAAGGCATCCGCAAGCAAGACCAACCGGGACTCGTCGAAACCTTTGGCTGGCACCGCGACGCCGCTCCCAAAGTCCAGCTTGCGGCTCAATCCCCGCTTCTCACGCCCCTCATGCAGACGGGGGGTATGGGCAGCGTAGGCCTGGGGATTGGCGGCCTTGGTGGCGGGAACTCGTCGACGCCTATCTTGAATACGAAGTTTGATGCGGCGGGCTTTGGGGAGAAGCTTTTTAGTGCGGCGAGGGATGGGGTGGAGAGGATGGGGACGGCGGGGGGGCCCGGGGCGGATGGGGTGAGGAGTCCGTTGGCGGAGGAGGCGAAGGTGGTGGTGGAGGGGAATTTGAAGAGTTTGGNGCGGATGGGGTGAGGAGTCCGTTGGCGGAGGAGGCGAAGGTGGTGGTGGAGGGGAATTTGAAGAGTTTGGGCAAGTTTTTTAGGAGGGATATGAGTGGGTTTGGGAGGTTTGGGAGGGAGGGGGGATGAGTTGGTTGAGTTGAGCTAGTGAGGTGGGGAGAGGAGATGAGGATAAAGGGGGGTTTCTTGTATAAATTCTTGTTCTTGTTCTTGTCTCCTTTTGGGTTGTTGTAGATAGATACCAATCCAATCATATTATGATTTTATTACTTATAGTTCCATATACTTATATAGACTTACATATCCTCTCTTGCTTCTGCTTCATCATATAGTTATAGTACTAATAGGATAGGATATCGGGAATAGCTATTTTTTTCTTCTTCTTTTTTTTTTGATAGTAATAACCGGTTCTTTTATTTCATAGTTATAATAGTATACTGTAAATACTTTTTACTAAGTAAGTAAGTATATTTCATTCATCCTAGCGCTTTTAGAGGATCGCGATGAAAGAAATGTGTAGTACACTCATTGGAAAGTAGATTAAGTAGATGTAAGGAGATGTGATGAATGGGTGGGGTGGGTTGAAGTGAGCTATGTTTATTAATGTTGGGAATTGTTGCTTGAGTGGTGAAGTGGTGAGAGTGGATAGAGTGGTGAGAGTGGTAAGAGTGGGTAGATAGATGAGTTTGTGTTTCGTTCTATGAGGGAGGTAGTGTGGAAACACTTCTAATTAAATACTTAACCCGACTCGAGTAGTACTTAAGTAGAGTAGAGTTGAGTAGTTGATTTCACTACTTAATTAGTAGTAAGTACTAGGTATAACTAATTAAGTAGTAATTAAGTACTACTTAAGTAGTAGTAACGTAACTAAAACGTAACTAAAGTACAAAGTAGATATTCTTAAATAGTAGCTAGCTTTCTTACCTCCTATGTCTTATTTTCCTTAATAATAGCTATTAAAAGAGATAGGATCTTCGGCTATAAAATACTCTATCGCTTATCCCTTATATAGGGGCCCATAAAGTCCGAGCTGTCGGACCGGCTTGCCGAGGCTCGGCCTGAATTACTCCGTACTACTCAAGTAGTACTCAAGTAGTACTTGAGTACTTGGCGAGTAGCGTAGAGTAGGGTTGAAGCCTACTTGAGTAGAGCAGAGTAGGTGTTACTACTCTTCTCTACTCTACTCATTTCTTACGCTAACTGAAAGATGTTGTAAAAGTGGATACTCTTTTAAGTGTACGTTTTTTTCGTGCCTCGATACTCTGGGAGGGATGATATAGCGATCTTCGGGTTTGTTTATGTAGAAGGCTTTTTGTATTTGTTTTTGTGAGCTGAGTTACGTACGTTTTTACGTTGAGGCTTACTGTATTACAGGTTCCTTATTTTGGATCTCGGAATCCGTCGATTCCCTTGGGGTTCTTGTCAATAAGTCTCTGCATTTCTTTCCGAGCTCTGTGGATTTTCTGTTAGCGCTAGCAGATCTCTTGAGAGAAATTTTTGAAAGTACGAGTAGGTATCACTCACTGTTTTCGCAGGAATGCTCGATGTGAATGCAGGCCTGAATTTATGATGTTATCTCGCCTAGACAAGATTTGTTCTGTCAGGAAGAGTAATAAAGGGGGAGAGGGGCAACTTACATTGCATACAATGCGTTTCGATCATCAAAGTCTTCCACGGGCTCAGAAGCTGGCACAACTTCCATATACCTCTTCAAATACTCGCCAGTAAATTGATACCGTGGTTCTCTCATCATACCAAGTTCCACTAAAATACACGCATAAGCACATTTACCAACGATCGATGTTCTCTACTCACCCTCATTATGCGCGTAACAACAGCACGCGTCAAAAAGGATAACACGCCGGGTCCCCTTCTCAATCTCTACATTCCCAGACCTTACGTCTCCATGTACAAGCACCGCATCGATGTGTCTCCCACCCGTCTGTAGCGGTCTTAGGAGTCTAGGAACGACCGTTTTGAAAAACTCGTCGGCCACGATATCGAATTCTGGGTCAGGGCCGAGGATACGATGAGACCACTCGATATCGGAGTAAAGCTGGCGAGTAAAATACTCTTCCCATGTATCGCACCACTCGTTAAGCAAAGGTACGATCCCGTTGTAGGTCGTGACATGGAAGCCGAATTTTCCCGTCGGCGAGAGGGATGTTTGGTGTAACTTCTGTAGAACATCTACGAGTTGGATGGGAGTTGGGAGCTCGGTACTCAGATCGCGGAAGGGGGTTAGGAAGAAGGAAGAGGAAGTGTCGTTTGTTAGGGGCCCGTGTGCTAGGGGGATGGAAATGCTGTCGGGGAGGTATTTTTGGAGTTCTTTTCGGCTGGTGTATTCTCCTGCTGCTAGCTTTTCGTGGGTGGGTCGTTGGATGATCTGACGTTTTTTTGATTTCTTGTTAGCTGGACTTCTTTCTGTTGATGTACAACCAATGTTGATGCAAAGCTGACTTTGAGGAAAAATTCCACTTCTGCGCCGTTTACGGAAGTTGCGATTTTGTACCCTGTGGACCAGCTTCCGCTGCCGTGCGGCTTCACTGATGTTATGTTGCAGCCGGTGGGTAATGCTGTGGTGAAATCTTAGTTTTGTGGTTGACTTTTGCGAGGGGGAGGGAGGTGTTGTATACCTGCAAGTATCGCGGGGTCGAGTGTTTTGTCCATATTTAATCGGGGAAGTGTGTCGAGTTTGATGTTTGTTAGTGTGCGAGTACTGATCCAACATTCCTTATGAGTCGACCTGGAGTAGCGCTAGCCGAGTATTGTTGGTCATATGATCTTTTGAGATTGAATACTCCAGGGCGGGCTGAATGATTTTGTTGAATGATAATTTCTGAATCATATAAAGATTGGAGAAGTGTAGAATGGCCACACTTATATATAATTGAGGAGACTATCAAATCCTACTTCTCTCGTACTTAACTTAGTAACCCAAATGTTTTCTATAGAACCTATTTCCAACTTCCAACAGATTTATGATAATTTTGTCGATGTGACGATGTCCGGGGGCACATGGAGATTAAGTACATTTATGCGAGAAATGGAGAACGAGACAGCTGTTTTCTTTACATGACGATAGATGTAATTCTTCTCAACAGATGAGAGCAGCAGTTGTAGTGTTACTCATTAATGAGTATCTTACTTCGATATTTTCGACTAACGGAAAGAATGTATGGTTGAAGTTGCGACTAATAGAGAGTTGCAAAAGAATGAGACGTCGATTGAGAGAGGAGGTGGGTGTCCGTACAGGACCATGTGAGCTGTGTAACCAGGACAAACAATACGGTACAAACTACCTCGTAAAATCTAACCCTCCATGGATTTACCCCGAAATGTTCTATTCGACGAACAGTTATTTTGAGATCATATCGTAAGCTTCACCTCCAAGTGCTCAGGGAGTTAAGAATTAGATGGCCCCCGATAAAAGGTCTCATTAGCGTTCATTCAGTAGGCTAGTAGCCATGTGTTCAATCTGGGGGCCGTTCCATTTCTGCCAAAATCCAGCAACTTCAAACGGTGCCTTTTCAACAAAAACCTTGGATTCAAGATAAGGAAGGATGAAGATAAAAGCAATCCCTGTTTCGGCTCCGCCTCATGAGGATCTGGGGGCTGTACTCGAGTACTCGAGTACTCAAAAAATGCGGGAGTGCTGCGGGGGATTCCAGGGGGTGTCACAGACAGGAACCGTTTCGGATGAAGACGGCAGTCCGAGCCATTATCGAATTGGCTATCTGATATGGGATGGATCATTTATTTTTCTTGGAAGAAGGGACGGATGTGATGGTAGAAGAGAGTTACAGCAAGGTAGGTATACCCAATGACCATCTAGTATTTTCGTGGGTTGGTTGGTGTCTTCGTTTTGCCATTTTCACGATGACTTCTAGCTGATTTGATTTGCTACGTATCGTAAGGCACAATCCTAAGCAGATGGATCAAACTGTGCTTGAAGAACTCACAGGTTTCAAAGTAGCAGCAGTCATTCCCCCTTGCAATTGCCGCTAGTACTTCAGTCTTTTGACCTAATATATTTTCTGTAGGGGCCGCATTCGCATCCAAGCTCAGCAGACCAGTACCAGCCATGAACTTCGGATCGACATGCCTCCTACGGTGAAAATACAGACAGAACAACCTATCTATCAATCAACATTCTCATCACCATCATCGTCGCTGCCGGATTTCGACATTGAAAAGAGATACCAACCTTCGGAGAAACAGAGTCCTACAGAAAGTATACGTCCACTACACAGAAGCAGTCCATTACAAAGTGCGATCAGCTCTGATGAATTACACACAAAGCCATGGCCAGAAAGGCCACAACTGCTGGCAAAGACCGTTCGGCAATGGAGATGGTGGGAGTTTGCTGTCGATTCGGTTATGCTCATGCTGCCCATTCCGTTCTTCATGTTGATTGCTGCTATACTTTCAATTGACCAAGTTCCTCTGACTCCCAAGGCGGCCAACTTTTTCGGCTTGGCCATTAAGGGTGTAAGTAGATATCAGCTTCAATGAACACACTTTCTAACCGTGGAGTTCCGACACAGGCTGCGACTTTATTCCCAATATTCTTCGCGGCTTGTGCTGGCAGAGCTGCGATCAAATATGCTACCTGGAAGCTTCAAGAAGGAGCTGCTCTCGGTCACTTGGAGCAACTTATGGGAAGCCGAACAATTTGGAGTACCTTCAATATGCATTTTCAACTTCGTTCATTCAATACGATTGGGATTCTTCTCATCATAGTTTGGTGCTTTGAACCTTTGGGCGGTCAATCCGTTTTACATATTTACACAACCCCATCGAAATCTACTACATTGGATACAAATGTAACATATTTCAACTCCCGGCAAGCCAGTTATTCATCGCCGAAGGGCGTTTTCAAGAACCAATGTGAGATGGACAATCTTTCTTGTCTCTACTCCTCTTTGCTTCTGTTGTTGGGCTGCTTTATTATACCGTATTACTTGCCAATCAAATTCTGAGTTTCGATTCTGTAGGGTTTTCTGGCTTTACTGTTCTTTTTGCATCAAGTTTATTGTCTACTGTGGAGGTAAAAACTTCCAGTGTCGATATGTGGGGAAACGTAAAGATCCCATACTACTCCAAGATTGAAGCGACTGGTGCGGCCAAAAACAACGACGGTTGGATTCATATGCCTGCAAATTTTACCCCGATTTACTCTTCTCTATTTGGATTACCAATATCCAAACTTGGAATAGGCAATACTACTTTCAATGTCGAGTCTACCTACACTGAATTATCATGTGGCAACATGAGCGTCACCGGCCAACCAGCGATGGGGGGTAAAAGTGACCTTATATCGACTACCGGTCCTTTTGTGAGTTTTCAAAATGTCACCATCAGCGCAGCGTTCGCAGTAGGATACCAGGGACCGGATTTGACGGCACCTGATGAAAGCGATTCAGCTTGGGTACTTCCACAATCTTGTCCAGATTGTTTGCCGGAGTATTTCAGAGGAAGAACGGTTGAACCAGGGAAGCTTGCTTTTCAAGAATTCGCTGGGTTTGATAATACGACATCAATCATTTGTACGCCCCTACAACAGTATATCGAGTCAACAGTTTCATGTATCAAAAGCACTACTCAGGAAAATTGTCGCGTCACAGCTCAGCGGCCTTCTATTTTGCCACACATGCCTTCCTCAATAACTCCACTAAGTTTTCCCGAGGTGGCAATGGGCCTTACGGAATTACTTCCAAACTCCACCCCAAATTTCAATGCAGTCAATATGATCGAGAACTTCATCTACAACCCCTCGAACGGAGCCGCTTCAAACGTCATAAGCGGCGAGACCTCATTCGGACAGAACGAAGGACAGACTCCACTCCTGGCCATCACACCCGACGAGTTCGCCTCTCGATTCGGCCAGTTAATGAACGCATATCTCTACGGCAGTATGTGGAATTCCACCCCATATCTCTTAGGTGCCCCATTCGAGGATATCCAAGCGCGTCTCATCGGGACCAAGAACGCGAGTTTTATCCCCGCAACGCCATCAGAGATATCGGCCATGATCCTCAATCAAACAGTCGCTTTCACAGTCCCAGCAAAAATCACCACCGAGACGGATATCTTCTTCGTTTTCTACTCTTGGCTGACGGTTTTTCTGCTGGCGAATCTGATTATGATGGGTGCGTCGATTGCTAGTGTGTATTACGCGAGGAGGACGATATTACCTGAGTATCTGGGTTTCGTGTCGAGTTTGGCGAAGGAGAGTCCGTATATTGGAATGCCGGATGTGGGTATCAATATGGATGGGATGGGGAAGGCGAAACTTCTTAAGGATGTGAAGGTTCGCCTGGGGGATGTGTCTATTAGAGAGGGGAACGGGGGGGGCATTGGGCGACTGGCTTTTGCGAGGTTGGAGGATACTGTTACTGCTGAAAAGGGGAAGTTGTATACTTGAGATAGTATATCTTTGTGTGAAGGAATACAGGTGGATTAATAGAAGTGGAACCAGAGGCAAAATAAGTAGGAATAAGCAAGTAAAAAATGGATTAATTCCTAGCTACAACAAAAAAACATACACCTTACAGAGACAAAAGAACTTCTAGCTGAAATAGAACGCTAGTATGAATCTATATATGGATATCTCAGAAAGAATTATAACTCAAACATAAGGTATAAAGAAGAAAATACTACGAAATATCTTCTATCTAGAACCTCTTTTAGTACTACTAACTAACGTATATATCTATTCTTGAATTCCTAAGGACTAGATTATCGAAATATCCTTTCGTTATATTATCTCATTACTAAGTCCTTTCTTGTACTTAGCCTTCTTTTCTCCCACGTATATTCGCGTACGATATTCTCGCTAAGAAAGCCCTCTCGCTTAACCCTAGGAGCCTATAAGCTATAATTTAAACTAGTATAGTATTATAATACGAGTACTCTATCTAGTACTAGTATATTCCATAGAAAGCGCTAGTACTATTCCGGAAACTTCTAGACTAATAGATAAATCCTATATTAGAGCTCCGCTCTCCTCTAGCTAGCTTCTCTTTATATTCTAACTTATTTATTCTATATTATACCCTTATCTTCTAATAATAACGCTATCTCTAGATATTAAATCTCTAAAAACAAGTATAACTAAATTATTTCTAGCTTTCTCTTACCTTTCTATATCTCTTTATATAACGGACAATCTAAATTATATAAGAAGAGCTAATTAATAGTGTGACGGTTCTAACCGTCACCACCATTCGGATCACATGGTCTCGCTTAGCGTTCCACACCAAGTATTTAGATCGAAGCTCTCTCGAGCTCTCCTCTTCTCCTCAGCTTAGAATCTTTGTTTAATTGACAGTTCTACGATTCCACAACCTACAACGTGGGCTTTGCGTACGTGTCGTCACATTATTCTAAGCTCTCACACACTGCCTGGGAAGGCTTTACTGAATATCCCTTCCTGTCTATCCGTCGCGGTAGAAGGACCCCACGATCCTCAACTACCCAGCCGCAGAGCTTTTCAAAAGGAGTTGAGAAGATCCAGTGAGCGGAGCGCCCTGGATATACAAAA